AACATTTCTTGTTTACAACTTAAGACAAAAGCAGAGGTCACTCATTGGTTCCATAAAAATGGAAATGTAATACAATTCTATTAAGGCTGCATTTTTCGGTCGCATTTTAGTACCACAAATTCCGAAAAGCTGTATCAAATGCAATATACAATATACAACGTGTTCCAGTGTTGCCTTAGCATGCTTCTAAAATTGTTCCCGTGAGTTCGAAATGGGAGTGATTACTATTTTTGATACAAAATTCAATATTCCAGTGTAACCTCTCCTGGACCCTGTATTAATCAGGAATGTTTAAAAAAAAATAAAAAAAAATTTTTGAAAAGGTCTCTCGCTATCGAGAGAGAGCTATGCGCAAATTGCATGCCTACCTTTGTTACTTGTAATTAGCAATAATTTTCGTCAATTCCGTTATTACTTATGTCTTTTACGTGCCGATTTTATTGTATTCATGTTCTTAATAATCGGTGAGAACAGATGAGCTTTATTATTTGAAATTGAACATTAAATTTTTTAAATTATTTTATACTTGGTTAAGCTACAATATATTTTTGCAAGTAGGTTATGCGTTCCGTTTAGTCATTTTATGTTCAGCGCCGCGGAAATTTACCGCTGATTTTGTCGTATTGCATTTCTTTATCGCCGATGAGGAAAGGTCTACGGAATGTATTTTCTATATTTGCACTTAAGTATCATTCTTCTCCAATAAAAAACTTTAAATTTTCAAAATCGAGTTACATAATGATACAACTACAAATTATTTTGTAAAGAAGGTGTCCGTTTTGCAAAGGTATTTTACGCTTTGCACCGATAAATTTGACACAGACATGATCTTTCAACAGTATTGAAGAAGTTTTCACAATATTGAACAGAAAATTTAGGTCAGATTATCGCATCGAATTTTCAACAGACTAGAGACATGGCATCTCAACATACCTTCATACTAAAGTGTGATTTTTATTTGATAATGAATTGCCTGAAAACTTAAACAAAAGTTTTCAGAAAATGACTTCACAGAGGATTACCCCCTGTTAACATTGAAAATTTCTCTGCTAGTCTTACCGAAATAAGAAATTTAAATGTTATTCTCTTTATAATTAATTCAAATACTTATAATCTTAAAACTTCACGCCAGAAGTTAATAAAAAAGCTGCTTATTAGTACAGCTGACGTTAACAAATTTTGCTGAAAAAAAAAACACAAATCAGACAGGTGAGTCCGACGGAGGCCGAGCTGTTTATGTTTACTGAATTCAAATCAATTGAACTGAACTGCTATGAATTCGAAAAACCACCAGGGACTTTTTATTCTTTCGTGTGGAAAACCTATCACGCTAGTTTCAAAATGTCGATGGTTCTCTGCAGGTGCAACATTTTGCCTGAAATAATGCCCAAAAGCGCACCTGAGGTCCTCGCCCCTAGTAAAGCTAATGTGTGGAGTGAAAGTTTGAAAACAAACCACAAAAAAGCAGTCATTGCCCAGAGCATTCAGAACCACAGTTAACATAGAGCGTATCTAGCCAAAATGAATTCAAGTCAATAGATTTCTACATTTCTACATTTTTTTTTGCGAAAAAATTTCGGGATAATATTGAACATACAGGAAAATATAAGAAATTATTTCAGATATTATGATGAATTAGGTAACATGTTCATGTTTAACTGAAAAGTAGCTTCTGCAATGTAAACTTTCAAATTAAATGTTATACTAGTATTGGACATGACACAATGTATTCTAAATAATCAAAAGCAACAGAACATCGCTATACACCGCAAATGATCTTCTTTTTCTTATCTAGCGCAAGTGATTATTCCATAAAATATAAATATATTGCCAAAATTATCCCTGTTGAAAAGACTGCCAAAAGTACAACTGCGTCGTATCATATTTTATTTTCAACTGTGTCGTATCATTCCGTAAAAATCATTATTTTCTTAGAAAATAAACATATCTTTTTAATGAAAGTTTAGTAAATGATGCAAAATTATGTTTTGAAGTTTATGGTGAACTCTGAAAACGAGTATATAATTGATTTGAAGGAAAAAACGATAAAGCAATATGAACTGCGTCGTATCCACACATTTTCATAAAACTTCTGCCCCGCTTTGAGTTGCAAGTTCGCTATAACTTTTGTTTTACAAAATACTTGTGCAAGCAACATATACGGAACGAAGCGGAAAAAAGTGTAGCGTGTTAATACATATATCTGGTTTTCAGTCATTTCCAACAAAAAGAGTTATAAACAAAAACATACGTTTTTCGTTCCAAGATGGCGGCGTTTGTTTACATTTTGTAGGATACGACGCAGTTTTGATTCCCAGCCCTGGGAAAAAAATGAAAAACATGCCTAGAGATATTGACGTCAGGGTTAACATGACATTAATTTAAATGATTTTACTATTATATTTAATAAAAAATGAAATATTCAAATTTGGTGGGACAGACTATAATGCTATCATAAAACATTAATACACTTGTTACTATATATAGTAACAAAATCGCCTTTGATTTCAACTGATTATGAGTGTCACGTGACCTATTATGAGTTTACGGCACGGGGCCGAGAACTAGTTATCAGCCCACCGAACATGTACACGTGCACAAACTGAAACAATGACGTCACATTTTACGTCATCAAACAGTTAACTGTAAAAGTGAAAGTAGGTTTTACATGAACCGCTTGATTTTTTATGAGAGCTGAAGCGTATTTTGTACAGACATAGTTTTATTACTATTGAAATTTAAAGAAATAATACGACAAATTTATTCCGAAAAAAAAAGAAAATAAAATATGATAAAAAAGATCAACAAGGAAAGGCGGCGTTCAATGAACGCAACCCCCACTTAATTGCTTCTAGATTCTACAGTAGACTAGTGTACTTTAAACATACAAAAAGTATACAGCTCTGTAGAAGTTACTGTTCTGTACAGTAGAAATTAATGCAGTCAGGATTTTCAAGGAAAGAAATTTCAAAGTATTTTCTTTTTAGAAAAATGCTACAAAATCTATTAGATCTACCAAGTGTATTAAAGACATTAATACACGTCATAGTTGTGCCAGAAGGTGATAATCGGCCCTGAAATGAATAATGCCCTCGGGCTGAAGCCCTCGGGGCCATTATTCATTTTGCGGGCCGATTATCACCTTCCGGCCCTACTCTGCCGTGTATTAATCTCTTAGTAACCAAATCTATAAGATATTTTCCAAGGCCAAATTAAAGATTAACTCTGTGAACAAAAATATCGACTTTATAAATCAACAAAAAACATCTGACATTTAAAGTCTTTTAGATTCGCATGCGTAGTAATTGGTTAATGACACATTACAATTAGATTAGTGAAAGGATCTTGTCTACAACACTTTTCCATTAGTCACATTTCATACTTGATCGATTTCAATCAACATAACAATTTTATTGCATTCTGATCACTTTCAAGTTATTCTTCTTCTCTAATTAATAATCAAACGCACTCGGAAACAATCATCGGTAAAATTAATCCACACGCAGTGATCTCCCCTTCTTTCTTCAGTGCAGTTTCCGTCTTTTAATATTCGTTTGGTTTCTTTCATTTACGAAAAAGTTTATTAAACCTATCTGATAATATGATAATACCTTACCAGCCATGCTTTCTAAGAGAGGTAATGCCTGGTTTAATTTCAAATTGCAAATTCAAACTATAATGTAAATAATGTATAATACAAGAATATAAACAAATGTCCCATAAATGAAGAAGATTGCAACAATTTTTTTAAATGAGCACCAATCCCAGATACTCCGACTAAAAGTAAAAGTTCTTAATAATTGTTCGGACAAATCTAAAAATCTTCAGCAGCGTTGTTTTGCAACTGAAACACACTTGAATGTCTATATGTCGAACTCTCGTCGGATTAAAGTTTTCCAATCACGCCTTATTTAGAAAAAAAGTCAGCCAAAACTCTACAGCCATAACAATACCAAAAGAAGAGTGTAACGCCTTGCTAGAAAAAAAAATCAAGGAAAGTTATACCTTACAACAAAACAGCCATAACTTACCAAGCTAAACTGTTGCTCCTTGAAACCCCTCACTAACGCAACAGCTATAAAAACTTTTATTACCCTTCCAGATTTTTTCCGCCTTTTTGATTGGATATTGATCACCCGAAAGAAATTGATATAACCGAGCCAGACGGGTAATATACACACTAAATTTCCCCGTTTGGTACCCAACGTTGTAAACAACATGCGCTGAGGGGATGCGCGTACGGTTCGATATTACGCGGTGTAAATTCCGATTTAAAAGCACTTTTTAACTGTCAAATGATAAATATTTACCAAAGAAGAGTAATGATACATATAACCATCAGTATCGAAAACAAATATGACCTTGTGAAAGCTTGATATTAATTACAAAAAAGTGCGTTCAATAGACTACTCCTTTTCTCTTGTTTACTTTCGTAAGGTACGGGAAAAATACGTCATGTATTTATGTGACGTCATGTTATGACGAAGAGGTATCCTAAAGGGAATCTTATTTCGACGTTTCATTTGAAACAGCAATAATTATTTAAAAAATCGTCTAAACTCGGCAGGGGAAGGGTAATAAAATTATTATTTTGGTTTTGGAGTGATATATATGGATATATTACCTGTCAAGATAAAATATCACCCTCGCCTCACGACTCGGGTGATATAAACTCTTAACAGGTAATATATCCACATATATCACTTCAAAACCAAAATAACATATACTACTAACAGTCTTAGGGTGATGTTCAAAGAGTGTATTGATGGTTTTATGCTTTTGCGTTTACTTGGTGGACAGTTCAAGACAGTGATGCTAGAATTCTAGCATCACTGTCTTGAACTGTCTACCAAGTAAACGCAAAAGCATAAAACATTTGTTAGCAGCAGTAACACGTAAAGAGTTTCCAAGCAAACAGAATATATCTACTTGTTTATAAAAATTAGTATAAAGTAATATTTTGGTATGATATAATAATATATTTAAATTTTCGGTTTCAGATATTCATCGTGTCAGGGGTTGGTGTAGCTATTTATGATCGGGGTCAGCATGAATGTGAGGCGGAACTGGTACCTCAAGTCAAGCCATTGGTGGGCAAACCTTTTGTTCTGCGTTCGATTTTTCTTTAGACACGTTTTATACTAAGTGTCATTAAGATGAAACATAATTCTGAAAAATTTATTCGATTACATTATGTTACATTTCTTTTATATTGAGAATAAATGTTGCTTTCTAAAATGCATTTCCATGCAGTCTGTTTAATTGCATTGACCGAAATGTTTAATATATACAAGAAGTATTTCTTTCGTATGACTCCCAATAATGAATTTCAGATGTCAGCATTAAAAAAATTACTCGCATTTTTGTTTTGCTATAATCAAAACAAAGTATTTTTTCAGTCAAAAGTAGTGTATTTTAACTTGAGTTGGAGCACGCATGTTTTAACTATTACATTTATTATTATTATTAAACTGCAAGTTTGTAACGCCGCCATTCACTACATAATCGGACGTTTATATAATTTATATATACATTGTAGTTTTATATACATGGCTGCTGTCAATTTATGAAAGAAATATATATATTTCTCTTTAAAGGGAAGTTTGCTGTATTATAAATTCGTTTTAAAGATTATTGACAGGTTTTATGGCAGTGTATAAAACGGTTGTTGGCTTATATTACCCGAGCCGCCAGGGCCATATAACCTATCACTAGTCTTTATAACGAATACATTGTATTATAAAATATATTCCCTTCCCTGTCACATAGTTTAAACTGCATAATTCTACAGCAATATATAGGTAGAGACGAAAATACCCTTTGAAAATAACGCATTACGGTATGCTTTATTCATAACATTTGGGATACAGAATGTTTTGTCCCAACGCGATTTTAGGAACAATCAATATCAAAATAAATGAAGTATTTAAAATGAGCGGCCGGGTATACAGAACCGCGCAAGACTGCAAAATGCGCAGGCTGGACAAGCGGTAAAGATATTCATGTTATAGACAAGTCGTGATGTCCAAGTTTATAAAATATAGACAGTACTTTTACATAAACAATTTAAAGTTTGCAGTATGTATTGTATTTATCCAGGGTAGGGAACTGATACTTGCTCATATAATATAAAAATTTCCATTTCAGGTGAGGTTGCATTTCATCGTATCAGTTATTGTGACAGTTGCATGTGTTATAGGAAGTATATTAACAATTGTGTTTGGACTTTGTCCATCTAACAAATGCTCTTATTCAATTAACTACACTTTCAATCAAGGAATGGCCGCTTTCCTTCTATGTTTACAACTTTTGAGCATGGCTACGACGGTATACAGTATATACATGTTTAATCATTATCGAAAACATTTTGTGGTTCCTCGAAAACAAGAACGATTTGCTATGCCTCATGGAGAATTTCAAAGTCACACGTCACAGCAGAACCAAGGTTGAATTTCAAAACGAGGTTTGGATTCGAACCAGTCTACAAGCGCATTCTTGCCATTGGTTGATTTAAACTTAGATATCACAAGCACCAATCAATTCAATTTATTTGAATAATGACTGGTTCACCTTTGACCAGCGTGTTACAGAGCATGACTAGAGAGATTTCAAAGAATTCGGAAGATGTTCTTAGAAGAGCAACTGTAATGGTCGTGACGATATCAAAAACATGGCCAAGGACAAGTGCGAATATTTGACACGGACTATATCATAAATTCGGAAAAGATATAATAAATCCAGAAAAATATAGCAATTATTGTTTGTGTATTATAAAACAAACTCCTGTGTGTATGACATTATTATGGGATGATAGTCGACAATCTTTTTAAACAAAAACAATATTTCTTATAAACCTTAAATTGTTAAACGGTTGTGTCCCCTGTTTATCTTGTATGCCATTTGTAATTATTGTCTAATCAAAACTGTTTTTGCTTGTTTTTGTTGTTATCAATATATAGTTTATTCATATACATACAAATGTCAATTTGTAGAAGTTATATCCTCTTGTTTGATATTTTATGGATCTAAGATGGTGTTTTAGCGTGGAAATGTAAGGACACTGCATTGAGCGATTATCTGTTGCGGACTAATTTTACAGAAAAAATTGATACCGAAAGATCCAAACTTGAACTCAACTTAACTCAACTCAACTTTATTTACGCAAATAAAGGCATTTCGGCCCAAAATACACATCAGTATAGATATAATATTATATACATGTATTGAATGTAGTTGCATAACATATAAAATTAGAATAAAATAAGTTAAGAGCTGGTACTTTTCAACAAGTGAAATACAAACAGAGATAGTTTATAAATTGTTTCTTCATTTTGTGTATTCATCAGCGAATAAAAATCGTTGATTTAGTACCATTTGAATACCAATTATAGAGATAATTAGTTCGGACGTCATTATACTTAGAACATTAAAAAAGGCATGAAATTCACAATCAATAGCAGTTACATTATTTTGGTTAAAACAAAATAAACATATTCTTTCATGAAGTGGTATATTATTTTGTCTTCCCATTTCAATCGTTAATTTGTGACAGGAACATCGAAACCATGCAAGAGTAACCATATATTTTCTTGGAATATCGCAGTAAAGATAACGTTCAGGGTTTAATTGGCTCTTAAATCCAAATCAAAACAAAAAGACAAATATGTGGGTTACGTGAAAAGCTATATATTTAGAGGTATATATTTATTTACTTGGTTGCTGCTCGCCATTATGCGATAATGGCCGGAAGATGTGCATAATGACCTGAGGGCCGCATGCCCAAAGGACATTATTAACGTCTTTAATACCTAAATACGGCGTTTGGACATCGCCGCTAATCTTGGTTGTCGCCCTTTCTAAGAAACGGACAGTTGTCAATGTAAACAAATATCTGTCATACTGTACAGTTTAACACTCCGATTAACTTAGAAAACAAGACAACACAAAATAAATATAAGAAAATGTTGTTTTATTGTTGTTTTTATCGATAAATACAGAATCCTACTCTTTACATTTTTTGTGAGAATTACATTTAGATCTAGTGCCAGTTTTTTATGAAGTTTTGTGCCTTCAAGCTCGAGAACGGTTTCTGAAACTGTCTAGGTCTAAATGCGAACGATCCGACCTTTTCGCACAGTCAATTTATTTTTGGAATTTCTGAGAGTCATGTATCACTGTCGAGTACGTGAAACGGTGTTACGGTGCTTCCATCCAAGATGTCGGACCGAGAAACAACAAGGAGGTACGTGTCATTTCATAACCGATGTATTTGGAGATATACGTTACTTAGAGGATAAAAAAATAGTTGCATATAATGAAAAATAAATTCACTATAAGACCAACATGTTCACCATGTATGTTATATAGGATTTATATGAATTATTTACTGAAAACTTTGGGGGGAAACACACGTGGAATTCGAACCGAGAGGCTTGGTAAATATTTGAGCAAACCTCCATACAAGAGGCATCAATCTTTAAAATAAACATGCTTGATAATTAGCGTACGTGTAAAAAATCATTCCTTGAAATTAGAAATTGTTTCAATCAGTTTGTTGTGCCTGAGTCTGTCTACTTTCGCCTAGACACCGGTGCAGACACCTAGCAACGGTGCGGAATTTCCGTAAAAAAATGAAACAGTGCTGCCACCAATTAGGCAACGGTGCATACATCTGTCTCAAAAAAGTATACGGTTCAGACATAAAAAAAAATATTTGCTAAAAGAAACCAGAAATTTGAAGTTGCATGTTGCTTCACATAATTTATTTCTAATTATTATGTTTTACAGCTTCCATGCACTGGACACTTCATTTATTGAAGAGTTTCTATGTTTCGACTGTGGAACAAAATACAGGACGAAGAATGGTTTGCGTAAACAGATCAGAGTCTGTATTCTTAGTACTAGTGCATTTCTAGTGTCATTTATCGGTCTATTGTTAGGGGATGCCGCCTTTGAAAATGTGTACGAGGATATGGTCCGCTGTCTAGTCACCACACCGTCACGACTCCCGGTACCCGGGGTTAGCACATCAGCATGCCCACAGCATGATAGCTATACACGTGCACAGACAAAGTATTCCAGAAAATGACTTTTTCAGTCCCTTTGTGATAATTAGCACTTGAAAACGGCACAAGGATTCAAAGCTCACAATCTTTTAAAATTCGTGAATAAAAAAAAATACAATTTTGTATATATAAAATACTATTATACTACATTGTATATATACAAAATAATAATTTGTATATAAAATACTTAAATAAATTAAAAATCATAGAAAGTTGTGGAACCGAGTGCCTATGATTTAGAGCGAGTTATAAAACATCCTATTCTCATACGCCAAATGTTAATATCCACTCCCATTATTACATTTTACTTAAAGTTTACACGTGTAAAACATTTGACTTGCCGCCATAACAAGGGACGCAACTACAACTTGATTGTATGCTAACCAAGTTACATTCATAAGAAAGACACTCCATTATACGTACATGCATAGTAAGTCAGTTTCGGTGTGATATCAAGTTGACCTTCTCCCTGTGCGGTATAGTTCGGGGCATTTCGTGCATTATTTAAGACACGCGAGGGCACCAATAGGGCTACCGATAAGCCATGGCCATAAGCAATTCAAAGTAGAATGCTAATCATTCATTTTTTATTATTTATTTATATATTTCTATTTCATGGTTTGTCCTTCTTTGAACCATTTCTAAGATTAATGAATACCAAGTATACTTAAAATATATTTTAATGTCCATGTATTTGTCAGTGTCGTTAATTTGTTTATTTACATACGTAGGACGTGTTTAGAGGGTTTCCCTTTCAAAGGCCTGTTAGCAACCTGTAAGTCAATATTCTTTAAACAAGTTTATAAAAAATGGCCATACAAACTTAATTGGATTCTACGTTCGCTTCTACAATATCCCTTAATCAATTGCAAGTGACAGTCGAAAAAAAAGATCTGATATTTTTTTATAACCGACTACAATGTATTAAAAATGTTTATATTTACAAACATTTATATATCTTTGTCATTGTAATCATGTTTATCAAATAATCTCTGTGATGTAATATGTTGAATAATTCGTTCATAAATTGATAAATCAGAAAGCCATAAATGTATCAAAATCATTTGTTATTGAATTCATGGTACCGTCTTTTATCTAATAGTGTCTGATTTAGACTATAACTTTAATCCCATTAATTCATGACAAATTAACGTTAATACAGCAAGACTGAAAATATACACAAACATTAATGTAATGTCCAACAGGGCACAACACAGTCAACTACATATATAACGTATGCAAAGAGTTTCAAAGAGAAAATTGCAAGGTCACGTGATGTCAGATATTATTATTTTAGATGGGACGCAAAACCCTCAAAATGTACATTCTACAAATGACAATCAATTCTCTTTCTAGAATAGCATATTAAAATAGATATAATAAGTTATGAGTATTAAACATATATTTTATTTCAATTGCATGGTTTTCAATATTTCACTTGAACCTTAATTCACCTTGGTAAGATTTTTTTTATTTCAATACTACATATGGAAAATAATATGTTTCCTATAGTGTGCAATTATATAGTATCCCACTGCACGAGGCTTTTCGTCGTACTAACACAGTAATGGTCACATGACGACTTTCCATCTTTACTTATGGAGGAACAGTTCAGGAGCCCCTCCGTGCATTATTTAGGTACGAACGGGCACCTGAGTAGAACCGTCGACGTTCCAAAAGCTAGATGGATAGCTTGTCATGAAAGAATCTTAAGACCCTTGAAGAATTGGAACCCACATTGACGAAGAGGCGAGTGGTAACTCGCAAACTTTCACTAATAAGAGCTGATAATAGAAATTATGCCAATTATGATAATGAATGTATAACAATATATAATTAAGCCGCGTCACGACAAAACCAACAGATTGCGTTTGCGACCAGCATGGATCCAGACAAGCCTGCACATCCGCGCAGTCTGATCAGGATCCATGCTGTTCGCTATCAGTTTCTCTACTTGTAATAGAGTTGGTAAGTGAACAGCATGGACCCTGATCAGACTGCGCGAATGCGCAGGCTGGTCTGGATCCATGCTGGTCGCAAACGCACTATGTTGGTTTTGTCGTGACGCGGCTCATTTAAACAATTAAGAAATTTGTCAACATAATGCATGTACTAGAACTATATCTTGAAAAGGACGTCCATGATCGTGCAGGATCCTGTATATCATATACCTTTAAAGACATAATTTATTATTATATATTTTACTAAATGACTCGTCTTTTCTTATCTTATCATATATAAAGTAAATAAATAATATTGTTCTAAATATATGTGCAATAATCCTGAGAATATACTATTTGTTTCTTTGTCTGTTCTTCTTTCTTTTTTTTTTGGGGGGGGGGGGGGGGGGTAAATATTTTAGCGGGGGAGTTAAGGGGGGCAGATAATCATGCAAAGTTTGAGTTTATCTGTATTAAATTGTTAACCTGCCGACACACCATATTTTGATACCATTAAACGTCTTTTATGTTAATTCATTAAACAGAACGGCTAATTTTGTCTTTACATAAAGAAAACTTACAAATATAAACTGAATGCCAAATAGATGTGTGATAAATTTTCTATACCATAACATAATCTTTAAAGAAAATATTGAACGAGTTTTGTAGCCAAAACTTATATTTATAGAAAAACACTGTTTACATTACCATTTTAAAGCAAAATATCTCCTAATAAAATAGAAATGATATACTTAAAAGATTTAACATTTTATGCATTTAAAAAGTGGGTTTTAAACATGCAACAGTGCTAAATTGCGTGGGAACTTAGTATGAGAGATGAATGGTGTTTTTTTTCCTACTAAAATGTCTATAACGGAACAAAATGGATAAAATTGATGAATTAGGTAAGATTCTTCTTTTTATAGATTCATTTCTTTAAAAAAAATAACTTGAAACTATTAATATATTTTATTTTTCTCTTCAATTATGTAACTTATTTACTGTATGCAATAAACCTTAATAAACGGTATATCAATTCTAAGTACATGTATAAAGTTTACGATTTTAAAATAATCGCCCTGCAAATCATTAAATAATAATTATATTTATAGTTTGATAACTTGACAAGCTTTTTTTATCCTTGTTTACCAAAAATAGATCAACATTTTGTCACTTCTCATCATTTAGTTATTTTGCTCTAACGTTACATATATATTTATTTTCACTTCATGTCGCTTAGTTTTCTGTGGAAAGTTTTCACTTTTGTATGTCCGTCTGTCCGCTAGCGGAAAAAATGACTTTCATCTGGAACTAGATTCGAACCTGGCAAGCCTGGAAATGTGGTCGTGTTGATAGATGGTGTTACCCTCCGCAAAACGGCAATAAGCCACATTGAAATGACCAGAGCACAGTTCAGGCACCGCATCGTTCCTGGGCAGACTGTCAAACTGTTTATTTGTACAGCATATGTGCATGCCAGTGCAAAGGTATACAGTGTGACCGTAGAAAGGATTTCATGATCAACCACAACGAAAGTGACCTGCGTCGTTCGGGAATCGAACTCGTGTCGCCCGATTTACAGTACAGCTCTCTACCTATTAAGCCAACCGAACGGCTTTTCTGCACATGTATGAATTTCACCAGATTCTATACTGTCAGCTCTCTAATACTAGAATCATTTTCACATTTCAAGTCTCTAACATTTCAGAAATTGGCACGTCTTCATTGAAATGCGCAAATTTTATAATAACGTTGGGTGAATTTATTGTTACAGGGAACTATAAAAATCGAACAACGTATTCATTTAAGAAATAGCTATCAATTTTATGTGCAATGATGTAGAATTATGCACGGTTCAAGTTTAGTCCAATATATTAGACGTTACGGGCTTGTTAGCGTTTATGATGGTCAAACCCTAGTTGCCGAGTCAAAATGCTTTGCCAAGAAGTAAAAAAATCTCAAAGCAACATCATTTATAGGATTAGGTTCGAGTTTAAATGCGGAGGAATATAATCACAAAGAATGATAGGCGTGAATGATTAATTACAGAGTATTTGAACGATTAACCGTGCATTGTTATACTATAATGCACGCAAATATCTATTTTCATTCTAACATGCTAATATAAAAGAGAATGGATAAGACTATGTTGAACTACATTGAATTTGTGACGTCATTTGGTTCATTGAGGTAACATTCTTTTTATGCTGTGCATATATCGTGTAAAAATGCACTTGACTCCCCAATCTGTTTGATAGGCGAATAGTGTTTCAGCGTGTTAAATTTCCAAGTCTGCTACTGCTATCACTGTTTCTGTAATTAAGATGAAATTTTGATAAGGCTAAATCGGAAATTAGACATTACTGTATAGATTTCATAATAGAATGTTGAATGCCATAGCAAGTACGTAATTTGTTTCAAAGAAGGATGACGTAAGAGCAAAACAGCAGCAGCAACAACAACAACAAAATAAGCAAACAACAAATCAATAAAAAAGAAATAAATGAAAAAAAAACAATATATGAAAATTTTCGGACAAGAACGTGAAAATAAATATCATATAATATGAGCTTTTCTCCGTATTTAAATATGTATAAATTCTTGAACGTTGAAGGGGTGGATCCTGTGTGACAGACATTTTTCCAATAAGTCATACCTCCTTAAATATATTTTAATCATCGCGACTGTTAATGAAAGAGATTTCAAGCACAAATATATAATGAATAACATTGTTTAACACAAAGTTTCAAAGAAATGCCTCAAGGGGTTTAGGAAATTACTGGAGTGGTACGAAAAATAAAACCGAAATTCCAAGTCTAAAAGGGGCAAAATTTTGTCAAAATTTATGACAGAGTTATGTCCTCTTGTCTGGAAGTGGGGATGATGGGCACTAACAAATATTTAAAGTTTCAAAGCAATACCTTAAAGTACGGTGTTCCGTTTGGGTATAGGAAACAATTGGTGTGGTACAAAGAAAACTTCACCAAGTGTGACGCCGGCGCCCGGGTAAGCATATGAAAGCTCTCCTTATTGTATAAGCTAAAATACTGCGGTTGTCAACTCAGATTTTCTTTTGTCTTTCTTAACAGTTGAGAGAAGAAGAGCAGTTTTGATACAGCGGACTCTGGCAGCTATTCAGTTCTCCACAGGATTTTTACTGGTATTTTTCGCTGCTTACACTGCAGCTATCCTGCACGGCAAACACTCTGGTGCGCCGTATTATGCCGGCGCTTTTATGACAGGATTTGCTGTAAGATGGTTTTGTCATTATATACACGTTTGTACTCTTACACTAGAATTCTTTTTCTCGGGGTCAAGTCCGCAGAGAGTAAATAATTGAGTTGGAAAATGTCTAAAACGCACTTTCACAATCATGTTTAAAATATAGCATACTAGTAATATATGTATTTTAGACTTGGGATGTCACTAGCCATTCCCTTAAAGTTTTAGTTTAGAGGCATATTGCTTATATGTAAATTACCAAAGAAGTTTATATTTTGAAGTCGAAAGTAGGTTATTGAGCTGCAGCCCTATGAAAGCCTGAAAAGTGTTTGTGCACCACTTCAAAATGAAATACATTATAGGTTAAAAGAAACATATCTAATAAAAAAAACGTAACGGTAGGCTTACGCATGGACTATTTTTCCTAAAAATCGCGTTAAATGTGCAAATTGTGTTCAATGGTGTCTTTGAAAATAGAGATTTACCAACATGTAAAACGTATGTATTTTCACAAAGTTGCTAAATCGATACGTTATGTGCAATTCTCAATAAATACTTCCATTTTGCAAGGTTTTCAATACAACTAATGATATGAAATATTTAATCGTATTTAAATATTGTAAGCTTTGCTTACAGTTAATTTGCATAATCCACGGGCTTTCCCATGTCTAGACTATATAACGCCGCGTCAACACTCTTTCATGCAAATCGTGTTATATTTCAAAGCAATGCCCACAAGAATACATCATTGTTTATTTATCAAAACTAGAAATTTACTGTCCTAGGATGATAATTTGGTCTTAACGGTACATGGAAAAGTCCAAAAACGGGGTTATCTGGATTATAATCCGATATCGTAAAAGTAAACACTTACATATACTATATAGCACAATTCTTACAGACTCGTTGGTGTATTACCGTTATGGCTCTGCCGGTAGATCGGAATTATTGTAACTTTTAGTGTTTTTCTACTCATAAGTTCGAACCCTACGTATTGCCATTATATAACCACAGTTTTTTCTTCTTGCTCTGTTTTTTTATCATTACTATTTATTTATTTTTCGTTTTCCTTTTTTTTTTCTTTATAATATATATTTTATAGTATATATTTAGTTTTTATATTTCTATTCTATTTTCTTTTTGTATTTTTTGATCGCAGTGTAATAAAATATTCGATCTCATATTCATGTATGTATATGGAAAAAACGGTTAAACTTGTTTTCTGAAAAATTGACTTTCTGAGGTAAAAACAAATGTGTCGTACCAGTAGTCGAACTTCTGCTTGTACGGGTAAAACACATTACTGACACGGTTGCTCTACCTACTGCGCTAACAAGACATATGATAACATGTAGTTTTATTTGCATTTTTATAGCTTGTGGCATTGATCTGCCTAACCTATTTTTCGCATTGTTATTGGTCTTTGTTATGTAAACAAAGGCTCAAGTTATCATCCTAGGACAGTACAACGCTTATGAATACTGTCATTATTATTCATTCAGTGGAAGCTATAAACTACATGTATCATAGTTAAAGTGGCTAGAATTCGAAACAATTTCGTCTCATTAATGTAAGTCCGAATCCATCCAAAGACGGTGAGGAAGCTATCCACAAACAGTAGTGCGGTTTAATACACTCTGATCCCGTTTGAGCATGAAACAGTGCATTTATAAGTGCATCCTCCAGAGGGGTTTGACAAAACAACCAATATCTGAAAATTTATCCGTACATGAAGTTGTGGACTTAAAAAGGAAAATAGAATTAGTTGCATGATTCTTGTACAATTTTGCATCATAACATGATTTTTCTGGGAAACGAAGCAAAGAGAATTAGATAAAATTTTGCACACAAGAACTCCAGATGGAAATCGCAATTCAATCGTAACAGAATCAGTGAGACCCAACACCCAAATATATACAGATAGTAACGTGTTTGTCTATGCACCTGTAGTCTTAACGTTTTTTTTAATGTAAAGTCTTTATAATTTTTCATTCTGTTTACAGGCCTTAATACTGTCATTTTGCGGAGGAGCGGTTTATTACACTGGCAAAAATACTCGCCTTGAAGTCCTTATTCCCACACTAGTGAAACCATGGGTAATTTCAAATGTCGTGTTTTGTTTTGTTATTTGGTGAAGGTGTTTCTAAATCATTAAAGACACCTTTGTAATACTCTGTAGCGTCGGGTTTGTTTTGTTTTTTTTTTCATTGTATAATCTTCTATAAACACTACTCTCAATTTATGAAGAAATCTCACTTTTTTTCTCTAAAAATTATTTAAGTATTATAAATTCGTTATAAAATATTATGACCGTATATAAACGTAGTAACGGTTATTAACGAGTCACAATGAACTGTGTGGCTTTCGTCAGGATTTAAATTTATACACGTTCCTATTGTCATTGATATTATGTTTGTTATTTTGTTTTGTATTTTGTGGGGGTTTTGTAGGTTTTTTTTCCATTATTAAAGAAAGGATGTATTGAAGATGAAATATTAGCTCGAGATTTTGCTTTTTGTTTCAGGTAGTGGCGCATGTAATCATATCACCGTGTGCAACCGTTATAAGTATAATCGGTATAATCATCACCGGTATCTACGGCACGTGCCAGTCCGGCTCGTGTTCCTACTCCACAAATACAAAATTTAACCTGGGAATGGCAATATTTTTATTAGTCTTAGAAATACTCTGTCTAATTTCTATGATCATAAGCATATTAATATCCGTTTATTATGCCAGTAGTTTTGGATTACATTTGATATTTCACAACAAACCGATCCCCGGTGCGGTACAGGTCAGGCCTGTAAACGATGAAGTGCAGGTGTCACAGGATATGTACGTTCAACAACTGTGGCGCCATAAAATGCAAAACGATATAGATTTCCGTAAAATTGCTGAATATCTTGAAATGTCAAGAAAGAAGAAAACAGAAGAGACTATTTAAATAAAAATTCTCATGAATATGTAAATAATATGTAAATATATGCATTATATGTAAATATGATATCTATATGTATGATTGCATCCCCAAGGTATGTTTGTCTGTTCTAACTTGTTTTATATGTATGTATTGTTATTAAAGTGGGTACATTTACACATTGTTTCAATAATATGACAACATTGTTAAATAAAAATCTTGCAAAAAAGAACATGATGTAACTCTGGATTGAGACAATTAAAATTAATAATATGAGGTTATCATACATTGTTGAGTACAATAGATCACAGTATATAAACAAAATCACTATACCCTGTCTTAAGAGCTTATACAATTCAATGTGTGCCCTGCCTTGCGATTACAAAGCACAAAGCACGATTACAAGCATGAGTTACTGTGTATTTCTTAGGCACCGATATATTTTAACTTGAACCTTTCTTGCAATAACAGGAAGTAGACTTGATTATATACTGTGTGGTGTTGTTGTGGCCAAGTATAGAGACAATACACCAAGAAATAAAAATGTTACGGACGGCACATCAACATGTGAGGAAACAGGTACAGGAACGCCAACTTGACTGTGTGGATGACTCTCCTTTATCTTCAAAAAAAAAAAAGTCGATATAAAAATGAACTTGTTCTACTATGGTTTTGGAACTCTCTATTATCAACTTATGAGGGAAGTTTGATAATTAAAATGTTAAAATTCAGCATTAAGCAGACGACACTGATGGAAAGTCAGAACTAGCTCTATCCTAGTGGTATAGACCCCGTGAACATTGATGTCAGCATTTAACGGCTGGTGTATATTGCTCCAATTTCAGCTGTATTGTGTTTATTTGAAACAAATAAGCAAAGTGTTCTGGTCGGTCAATATATCATGGTAAAACCAATTTTTCAACAAAATAATCAACAAAAAGTATCCACTTAGTACATTTATATAGAAATACATGTATCTAATTCTTTAGAGATTACAATGTGAACATTGTTAAGTGATTAAAATGAATTTTAAAAAGTTATGAAACCTCCATGTTCTGAAAAAGGGGGAGACGCTTTGAGAACAATAATAATGTATTGAAACCTGAGAATTAAACATGTATTTATTTATTAAGTCTACCTCATATGACTACAACTGCAGTTATAATAACAAACCCCTTAATCCTAAATGCACATTAATAATAAATAATAATTTTATTTTAAAATCAAATTATAATGTGCACGTTTTGTTTGTTTTGGGTTTTACGTCACATTGACACAGTATAGGTCATATTGCGACGTTCCAGCTTTACTGGTGGAGGAAGACCTCAGGTGCCCTTCCGTGCATTACTTCAGGCACGAACAGGCACCTGAGTAGAACCACTGACGTTCCGTAAGCTAGCTGGATAGCTTCCTCACAAGTCCCTGTCGGTATTCGAACCCACAGCGGTGAGGGACGTGATTTGAAGTCAACGACCTTAACCACTCGGCCACAGACGCCCCTAGTGTGCATGTGTCAGAAACTATAATTCTTACATCTACATAATAGCTTTATCTTGTCAAAAGCCTAAAACAATATCTGAGAGTCAGAAACCTAATACCATAATCTTAGAGTAAAATTCCCAAAGTAACATCAGAGACAAAACCTAAAACCACAATCTGAGAATGTAAAATTACCAAAGTAACATCAGAGACAGTCAAAAGCCTAAAACATGGAGGTTTTCATTTTATACAGAAAAGCATTTTGTTGAATGTTAACATCTACAATTTTAAACAAGATCATGACTAGCACCTGGTGATATGTAAACACAATCATGTATTTTAAATTAACATCAAAGAGAGACAACTCTAACTAAACATATTCATGACAAGATGACAGAATTAAAAATCTGTCTTTAAATTGTTTCTGTTCTCTAGGTGAAGCACTGTTTATGATGTATGTGTCCTTAGTAATTTAAATTTTGATAAATGATTTTTATTATATATCAGTGATATGTTTTTCACTTTTGTTATTCCAGTTAATAAAAATCTTTGATACTGTCAAACAAATTAATTTCCTATTTAACTTACATAACAATATGATAACAATCAATTTACAAGATTAATTAAAAATAAATATTCTTCAATAGAAACTAAGGCCAATAATTAAAACTATTTCTATAACTTCACTACCTTGTAACTTCATTTCCTTTCGTCTTTCATATAAAGAATATCCAAATATTCATGAACACAGTAAAAAGTCAGGTTTAAAAAAAACAGAAATCAACCTAGTAAAACTCTGAGTTTATCACAGAAAACATAGATTAAAGTCATCTAAAGTCAGTTGTGGTCATCTGGCCGCCTTGATGCCGTCAGCAAACTGCTGGAAACCTTCGGCTATCACTTTTTCTGTTACTCCTATATCCTCGTCCACATAATAACATGTCACACCTGAAAAAATTAAACATCAACATTTTTATCAGTATTCTCATTTTGTTTTTTGTTTTTTTTGTTTTTTGGTTCTTAGTCACACTTATAAGAGACTTTCCAGCTTGGTTGTGAAAAACCTCAGGTGCTCCTCTGTGCCTAATTTCAGGCATAAGCAAGCACTTGAATAATACTAAGAGCAATATCATACCCTATTGCACTCAAAATCAATATTAATTTCAATTCAATTTGACACTAAAGCCCTACACTCCAATCTGATACAAAAAACCATCAATAAATTTACTGTATTGTGCACATATTTTAAAAATAACAGATTTCAAAAATATTGATTTACAATGTACATTCTGTGGCTTGGTTGTTTACAGTGTAAGTTAGATATAAGGATGCAAAACAAAGCATGTGCATCATAACATATAATTTATACTGTACAGGGAGGGAATAAGAACAGGAAAAACATGATGGTGAAATAACATATGCATCCAACTTTCTTTGTTTATATAGGTAAATCTTTGATAAAGTCTAAACTATGTTTCAGTCCTTCATGCTACAATCATTACACTCTAAATATCCAAACGTTTCATGCAACAATGTCCTGATCCAGCAAAATTTGACATATACAAGTGTTATTCTTAACCATCCCTGAATTTTATCAATATTTAAACACACGAACGGCCACCTGAGTAGAACCACCAACATTCTGTAAGCTAGCTGGATAGCTTCCTCACATGTAAGAATAAAAAAAACCTAACCCACAGTGATGAGGGGCAAGTAAAAATACATGTAGATCAAATAGATAATTCATATAATAAATTACATAAAAGAAACATCAGAATGCCTCACATTTATAGCTTCACTCTCATCCATTTAAATTTGTTTAAAGGTTACCTCCATCCCCTACCCCTTGTTCATGAAAAAAAATGCCAATACAAGTACAAAAACCCTTGGTTTACAGGCAGATACCTTAACCTCTTTACAGCTTCTCCCCTTATAACAATAAGTTTAATATAAAGGTACTTACCAACTTTAGACAAATCTCGTATATTTCTATATTCATCATCAAAAAACAACATGTCCTCAAATGGAAGTCCACTAGCACTTTTAAATCTGAAATTTTAAAAATAATCGTCAGACCTAATCCTTACATGAAGAGATTTTTATGAGCTAGAATTAAGCACTTAACCATTCATAAAGATACAGAAAAAGCGGGATATAGGAGATGCAAAACGACCAACACCAGGGTAGGTTTAACTGCTTTTAATAATGGTCAACCGGTTTCGGTCTCACTATAGACCTTCTTCAGGACAATTTTACATTGAAAATATATAGCTATAGTACACAAAATGATCGGATATGTAAATGACGTATGTTACTATATATAGTAACATGAACGTTCTGGTAATTGGCACTGTGCCAAGTCCTTGGTTAGTTTATTGATGAGACAGTTTACACGTGCATTTGTCGTTCTTCTGAAAAATTCCATAGATGTTGCCATGATTAGTTCGTTGCTTTCTCTATTTTGTCCATATTCGTCTCTACAGAGAGTTGTATCATGGAGAGTTTTATTTGGTGAAATTATGGGTGTAATAAGATCTAGTACCTGGATTTTACAGTCCACAGCCTCTTCTTGTTTGGGTTGTTTTGTTTCTGTTCTTGGATTCTTTCCTTCAATGATCCTAAATCTAGGGGTCACTTTATAATTCAATTCCGGATCATATTTCTCCACTGTTGGTTTTGGTGTTCTATTTGCTCTCTTTGGTTGTTGTAGCTCCACTTCCGTCATATGCATCGATTTTCTTGCATGCCGTTTGAGGTTAGATTTACTGGAAAATGTTTTTAGGCACCAACTACACTCGTATTCTATTTTTTCTTTTTCGGTTTGATCATGTTTCTTCTTGTGTTTGTAAAACATGGAGGATGTTGTCGAGATATATCCACATATGTCACATAGTCTCATGAAGTTGGCTGTACTTGTCCTCTTCTGTTTCTTACGTGATATTCTGTCCCATACTGCTGACTCTTCATTGATTTCCGCATTTATGTCATCTGTCGTAGCTTTTCTAGCTGTATATACTTCCATATTTGATTTATTGAATGATATTTAAACCTTCTGGTTGTTTGGTTTTCAAAAGACGTATCCAAACTTCTTCGGTTCTAAGTCTGACGTTCGTGTTTTTTGTCGTTGTTTGTATTATGACGACGTTCATGTTTTGACATCGTGCGTCAAAAAGTGGCAGGAAACCGGTTTCACGTTGTTTTTAGCGCATATATCAGCTGAATGTCCATAGAGCCTGTCTCTAAATGAGTTACCAGATTGACCTACATATTGGATATTGCATTTCTTACATGTAATCAAATATATAATACTCGTACTTTTGCATGTATAGTTGCCTTTGATCTCGTAGGTTTTATTCGTTTGCGAGCTTTTGAATTCCTTACATTTGGCCATAAATGGGCATGCATAACATTTTTCGCCGCACGGGTAGCTGCCGCTGATTTTTGAGGGTACCTGTAATGCTGATCTAACAAGAATCGATTTTATATTAGTTGTCCGTCTTTGGACTGCTAAAATTGCTGTATCTTTAATAAATTTAGTCGTATCGTTTTCGTATAGAATATTTTTGAGCGTGTTTATCAATTTGCTAACTGGTGGATTTTTAGGATTGAATGTGTACGTGAATGGAATTGTTTTTCTTATAATAGGTTTGTTTTGACGAAGGAGTAGCTCGTCTCGATTTAGTGCAGAGGCCTTTTTGATAGCTTTTTTAATTAACTGTAACGGATATCCTCTGGCTGTTAGGTTGGTTTCCAGTTTCCTTGTGCATTCTTCATATGCTATTTGGTCGCTGCAGATGCGTCTAATCCTGACAGCTTGGCTGTACGGTATGCTATTTTTCTGGTGATCTGGATGATATTCATAAAGATGTACATGTACCCTCTGATTTGATTCTCTTTCTGAAAATTTTATCTATTATTAAAACTTCAAAGGGCTGGACCTACAAAAAATTAATACTCTTAGTTTACATATTTACATAACTGGCTCACAAAATTAAATGTGTTCATAGGACAGGGAAGCCCCCATATTCCACCATTTTTCAGTCTATGTACAGATAGTGTGAAATCCAGATTGACAGCCAAGGGCAAATTCATATACCCAATCCCCCAAAGTAGTGTGAACTTAAAAATGAAATATATTAAATACATGCACTTACTTGTTAAAATGTGTAATTTTACAGCCTGGGTAGATTTCTTTGTATGTAAAGTATTTATCCCAATCAAACAAAGCTATAAGAGAGTTAGCTTCCTTTGTACAGGCAGTTCTGAAATATAGACAAGTGAATTATCAAATCAAGTTTAATCGAGTAATCAATTAAAAATGTTCACTTCTTCTTTCTTTCAGTGGACCAGATCAAAGTATTTCCAATCTATTATCAATATAAACAATTATACTATAGGAATAGTTTATTCTACAAAAATGAAAAAAAACTATATGTTAGATTGGTAAATTATGTTTACGAACATTATATATGTATTATAAAGTATTCGATCAAATGATCAACCACAGATGGGACATATAAAATCAACTTTTGAAGAAATATACAAAATAAAAAACATTGAAGATACCTTGAATCAACATACATGTACAAGTAGAAGAAATAAAATGCTCCACATACATATAAAATCAACAATGTAGCAATTATATATAAACAAAATACTGTGTAGCAATTATATATAAATCTAAATCTTCATCAAAATACTGTGTATGGAATAAAAGATTTGAAGCACCAAAGAATTTAAAACTTTGACCAAATATTGAAGCAACATATGTCTCTAAACTTTTGAAGTTTAAATCAGATACATGCAAAGCAACATAAAGATTTAAATCATTGAAAGAATTATATCTGTCATCAAACCTTGAAGCTACACAGAAATTAAACCTTGGAAGAATTATGTAACACAAACCTTGAAGCAACAGCTATGATAAAGCCTTCAGACTTCAACCTCTGTAGTATCTTTGGCACTTCTGGAAAATGTTTCACATGTCGTCCATGACGATCAACTACTTCACCTGACCTTGTTTATAAAAATCAAAACATTTCTTTACTCATTTACTGCATATCAGAATTAACAGGAAACTATTTAAAATCAAAGGATGTCTTTATTTCACATGATACAGTTTAACTACAGTAATTACAGTCACACATTGAATGTAATCAATTATCAATCTATTACTCTCTTAAAGTAATTGTAATTCAAATGATTACAGAGGCAAGTCTGAGAAAGCAATCAAAAGCAATTACAATAAAATCTGAAAGCAATTGTAATTAAATCAATTTCTCATCAATGTAATCATCACCAGGGCTTGTGCAAAAAATGATCCAAAAAGGAAAATTGTTTAAATGCTTTAAACTCAAATAGGGCTAAAAATTGCTCACAAAAAAATGATTTGGAAAATAACTCTGAATATAAATCTTTATCATCTTTACTGGCATGCGAGCAGTTCCCGTACAAAAATCGTAGTTACTTAAACATTATTTTTTATTACGCTCACTCACCAAAATTTGAATGATACACATCAATATTCGGCTCGTCAAACAAATCATGGAAATTCCATCATGTTCTAAACATAGAATAACCCTTAGTTATAAGGCCTCATATGGGGTACCAAAATTATCCATTATTTTGTATGAAGAGAAGTAGTTCCCGTACATAAAATCTAACCCATTATAATTATACAATTTTATTATATCGGACCTATTTTTCATTTATAATTGTTGAACAGACCATTTTCTAAGAGATAAATAGATGTAATTCAGGAAATAGAAAGTAGATTAAACGCGTATATCTATTACCCGGTACCGTTACCCCAACGCATTCACATGCGATGGCATGCTTGTATGCATGCTATTTTACGCATCAAAGCCATAAAATTATTTTATATAGTAATATTGGTCAAAATTTTGATAATTAAACAAGTTTTCATCACATTGCCTACTTATCTGTTAACAGGTGGTATTTGTGGAAAACCCTTTATCATGCCTCACGTGTAAGTATTTTTGCGCATGCGCGCAAGGACGGAATCCCCCAGAGAAAACAAGGTCACGTTTTGACAATGCACAGGTGAAAGTGATTTAAAATGAGACTTTTTATACGTACTGCCAAACTGACACTTATATTTTGTCTCGTGTATGTATCTGCTTGATTTGAAATGAATTTTTGAAGACTGTAAGTAAAAATCAAGCGTTGAAATGAAAAATACGGGTACTGCTTCTGTACGGGAACTGCTCGCATGCCAGTAGTATGTTTTTCTGTTTTAAGTGCCTAGTTGACCTATATGACATTTAAACATTTAAGCTTTTGTCATGTACTTCTTCCTAAGTAATATCAAAGTTACATTCTTAGTAATATCAAAGTTACATTCTTGCCATTTCAAATTGAATGGAAACTACATAATCATAAAATGCCATTATTGTTAAGTATCAATTTTTTCTATTTTAATTTCGAAACCACTCACTTTCTCTTCTGAAATGGTGGATCCACATGAGTGTCAACCCAAAATGGCCATAGAGTGTAATCTGAAAAGACAAAACTTTCAAAGTACATGTACATACATGTATCATTAGTTTTCATTAGTTTTAATACTATATAATGTACTATATATTTTTCTGATGACATTTATTTACTATAAGAGAAAAAGGAAATCATGTATTCTCTTTCTGGCAGATGAAGAATGTAATTATCAATAATTTTATTTTAAAAGGAATTTCACCCCCAACTTCTCTTCAAAATAAGTTGTGTTTTGATTTAGAGCAGAGGTTAATAAAATCCATGTTATACTGGTATATCAAAGCTAGCTGTTTAAACTTTAGTAAAGACTTACCAAGATCAAATACAACCATCTTAGGTTTACGCCCTGTACTTGATGCCATCTTACTAATATTTGAAGTTGAGAAAACTGAAAAGAAATAGATTGTTGAAATGATAACATAACAAAATCAAATATTCTAGGAAAACATATAATTACTTTACGTGACATTATATCAATGTTTTTCATTTTCAATGTATCACCTCGGTATAAGATACATGTTATATCTTTCCACAAATTCAAATTTGGCTCTCAGCTTTGCCCATCTTATATGATGTAAAACAGTGAAAGTTTTGATGGTTTTTTTTTCGCATATTTTGTTGATTATATTGAAGATGATATAATAGTAAACTGTGCCAGTGTTGATGGTTAAAAGGATTATGTGAAAAATGGAATAAAATAAAAGGTGATTAAAGTAATGTGTAGGTGTGCAGATTTTTTCCAGCTAACATTTTTGTCTTGTGTATTACAGTATTCAGTTATTATTGACATTGAAATTTGACATGTTTTCAAAACAGTGTAAATAACTGGGAAGTTAAAGGCTGAGACAACAAAGCGGGCCCGGGCTTTCGCTTGCCCTGGTATAGACTATATGTGTATACATGTATTTAAAAGGTAATCAAATTTTAAAAAATGAAAATAAATAGAATTCTATCGGAATGACTTAATACCGGATAGGACTCCTATCCATGGATAGGACTTTTAAATTTAAAATACCGGATAGGACTGATATTTTTCAAAGTTGCTGGTTTTTTTGTAACATTTTTTGCATGTATTTTAATATTATTTTAACATTTTAGATCATAATATTAAGAAAAAATACCCCAAAAAAAACATTGAAAAAATATCAGTCCTATCCTGTATTCAATGTCCTATCCACGGATAGGAGTCCTATCCGATATTAAGTCATACCCAAATTCCATACCCATCAGTGAAATCAGTATCATTTCATGTTGTGCGCCACCAATTTTAATGTAGCTCAAAGATAAAACGGCAGAGTATTCCGATTACAGACCAATCACAACTTTTTGGCTTAACAATTATCGCCAAGGTGTTCTTATGGAAAATGGAAGTGGTGCATAAAATACCAATTGACATTTTAAAACGAAAAATGTAAAAAAAAAAAAAAAAGTTTTTATTCACAACTCCCCCGTTCATAGGATTTGCCTACTTTCATATTAAGTTTTATTGATATATATGATAAGTATATGTGCTGGGATTGATAAATATACCTTTTTTGTATTCTAAGCCGTTTAGAGACCCACACTAACCCCAAGTGTCTGTGCATATTTTAACAGTATCCGAATAAATGATGTCCGAATTGTTTTCTTTTTCATAAATGTACATACTTTCATTGGTACTATAATACAGAAGCCTAAAATAATAGATGACAATTGATATAAAAAATGAAATGTGAACTTGCAAAACATTTACCGTGAAATGGATACAGAACTCCTTCAAAATACTTCACAAATGTTGAAGATTGAAGATGCCAAATTTGGCGTGATTGATTAAAATAATTTTTAAAGTTCCATTTAAAGTTCTAAATTTAATCGAGTTTGACACGCACTCCACTGTGATCGTGAAATGGCCAGTAAACGAAGGTGGTCTCTCATCATGGAAATGAAATTAGGCTGATAGATAAATATATAACGGACAACAGAATTGTTTGATCACTTTCTAAGATTCAAATTGTGTCAAGATTTATCAGTTTCGTCAATTTTTTTTTTTTTTAGATATTAAAGTTGATATCTTTCATACTTTCCTCTTGTGCGTTTTTGTTCTACCATGAAATGTTTTACTTTTGAATTAATCAAAGTTTCAAAAGTCATGACCCCTCCATCCCGCCCCAAGCCTTTCAGTTTCTGCATTATGTATTACACCATCTTTAAAATTTAACTACTACACATTACCATTAATTGTTTTCTAATTCTTTTCTTAAGTTTCTGGTCCCTTTTTTTAGCTTTTTGGATAGTGTCTGTGGGGCACAATGGTCTAAAAGTATAATAACTTCTTAATAGAAGTAATATCTTTCTAGTTATTGATACTGTTCACGTACGATGTCAAGGATAAATAAAGGCTGTTTAAGAAAAGGTGTTAAAATCTATAATAATTACTGGAAACCTTGAACCCAGTGAGTCAGTGGCCCTTAATTAAGTTCAGTAAAAGAAAGAATATTCCCAAATAAATGTACCTACCAAAACATGAAAGATATTTGTCAATAGATAAAAGCTGTTGATAATGAAGTTCCTATGAGAGAATATTTAGATATACAAGTACATGTATCCAACTTGCCAATACCAGCTTACTTTTGCTAAAATAGAAATAACTAGGGAAAAAAAAGGTGACAGTTATGTAACTTGCCAATATCATATACATGTACTATCAGAATTATAAGTTAGAGTAAAACTCAAAATAAACCCAACTAAAATGCCCCAATAGCTTAACCATACCTATATTCAAAGTGCTAAAAGGGAAATAACTGGGTGAAAATGGAGGCCCCAGTTTTGTGACTAGCCAAGGTCATGGACAATGTTTCAGTTAGTATGTAAATAGTTGGGCATTGGTACAGGTAGAACTAGGGATATAATCCGACTTGCTGGTAGTCATGTTAACTGATGAAGTGATGATTGAATTACTATATACCTATATAGTGGAATTAAAATGATTTAATAGATATGCACAGTATGCTGTTCATGGCTCATCTGGAAGAAGAGGTAACCAATTAAGTAAAATTTTCCGTACATTTAAATGACAAATATCGGCAATGTAAATTTAGAAGTTTCCCTCTGTATAGAACAGTCACAAAGTGGTATCTGTTAATATGCATTTTTGGCCATTTTGTAGTGCCAATTATAACAGTTATATTATAATAATACATGTATGCAATGGAAGCATGTAATGCTTAGATATAATTTGTAGTGATATCAGAAATACCCTTATTGATAAAACTTTACAAAAAATGTAGTTTCTCCACTTGATTTCATGACTTTCAACAATTCAATCAAAGATCAATAGGATGTAATTGTGCAAATGGGAAACCATATGACTGTTTATTGCAGGTAGATGCTTGTCCCATTATTTTCCAGCCCTATAGAGATAATTTAACCTGCTTTTCCCACCATCCTTACTTTTTTATTACTATTTACAGAAGACTGACCAATCTACATTTCGTCTCAATATAAACACTATGTCTACAAATGTTTTATATTGGATACTTATACAACTAACTGGCTTTCAAATTAAAAAAAAATTATTTATTAACAATCCAACAGTTTGAAAAGAACTTCCATAAATGTGTCATTGGACACACAAGAAATGAAACAAAATTGTGTTTCCTCCGTTACCAAGACAACTCACACCGGACGCATGAGGTTAAATGTCATTTAAAACTTACCACAGTGATGGGCATCTGGCTAAGAAGATCAACCCTCATCATTCTACTTGACAGGTTCTTTACAAAATCAAGCTCATTGTCTTAGTCAGATTCGAACCAACAGTGTCTTAGATTCAGACCAACTGTCTTCAATAAGGGGCAAGTGCTTTGGAAATAAGCGACCATAAACATTTGGCCATACAGGCAGATTGCATTAGGTATAGATAAAGTAAGTCTGGAAAAATTTAATGTAAGTTTTATTTTATTTTGTTTGACAGCACATAAATGAAAGTCTTTCATGCAAATGCTATAAATAATGATTATGTAATGGATTCCTATACACTTAATAAATACACCTCATTATCATGACAGGAATAAAATACTACCTAAATATGCATTACATTCATACATGATTTGTAATGTTTCCAGTAAATAATTTAATATGAATTAAATAAAAAAAATGGATTTACATTCATATACATGTATATATGATAAAAAGACTGTTTGCAACATATATAATGCAACCTAAATGTACTAAATTAACAACAATGTTTTGAATACTGATTTAAATAAACATATTAAAATGTCATAGAGTATATAATATCCTAAAAAATAGTAATTATACAGAAGCACCTAACATTTACTTAGATTCTCACAAAGCCTGAATCAAATGTAGATGAATCAATAATAAAAGTCTAGAAATGAAGCCTCTCCATTGGTCAAATTCAAATTTGCATAATATCTAAGCAGCCAATCATATTAGAAGTTGTAAGACTGGTCTCCTGTGACTAAATATACATCTATGACAACATATCATTTAGTAAGAAATGTTTTGCAAACTAGCATTGCACTATTTGAGAAATATACTGATGTAGAGGTAGACAATATTGAATAATATAGATAGAATATATAATAAATAAAAGCTAAATATTTTTTCTGATATAAATACAAGAAACAAGAAAGCTTATTTTTTTTCACTTAAGTTGCCCACCTGATATTGCTATATAATATATAGAGGATATTTGTTTAGTTCAGTGTAAGATCGGAATATATTTCATCGAGTGAGCACCAAAAGTTATATTTCTTGAGCGGCACAGCCATGAGTAAAATATGAACTTTCGCTGTTCACGAGGTGAAATATATTTCAATCTTACACTAAACTGAACAAATTTTCTTTTTCTTATATGCAAATTAACGTTTGAAAAGATATTTTAACCTAATACTAAATGAAAATCACGCCAAATAATAATACAGGTTGGTTTCCAGTTCTATGCACGCTGGTATTTCACTGAAACAACGTAACAGGCTAAAAATTCAAAACAGTGAAAAATATCAAAATGATAATTTCACTGTCTTTAACAGTGAAATATCAGTTTTATATTTCACTGATATATTTCTATAAACCACTGAAAAGCGTGTAATAAAAGAAGGATAACCAACTGGAGATTAGTGCAGCAATTAGGCATACATGCTACCATTTCGTCCTGTTGATCATTGTGAAAAGGAATTATTTTGTCTGAATAAATAGGATAGATAAGCCAACTGATGTAAGATTTTAACAGTCCTTTTGTATTACATAACAAGTGAGACAAGATTCTGGATAATGTAGAAATTTTTAAATTCATAACAGGCCATAAATCTCTCAAAATCCATGTTCAGAGTTATGGGCCTTGGACAGTGAGCCTTCATGCTCTCAAATAAGTGCGTGAAGTAATAACACATTTCCTTTAGTAGTTTCGAAGATACAAACTTACACACAAAAACCTATGTAAAAGTGATGATGTTATCACAAATGAAATAGTAACTATGTCAAACAAACATGTAAGGTTTTGGAACCAAATTAGATCTTAAAAGATATTACAAGTTTGCACTTTAACTTTATCATTCTGTGCACTATGATCAAAAAGAAATAAAAAGAAATGTTAGTTTTAAAGTCAATCTACAATAAAACACGATAAAGGCATTGGACTCTTCGTGATAAACTCAATATTTCCACTACATTTCATTACATTACATTACATTACGCACAAATTACTTATAACTGTGTGAAAATAGCGATTTGCCACTACTCGTCTATTCCCTTCATAAAACAATACTGAAATTCTGTTGTGTGTTTCTATTACACAACAAAAAACTAAAATCAACATCATAACTATGAACATTGCATAAACTCACAATATAAAGACATAAAATAAAAAAATATACAAAAATGAAACATTATTCAAAAAACAGAATTCAACCAGATGCAGTTTCTCTTTAAATAAAACCAATGAAATGGTAATGAAAATGGACCCTGTTCTTTGCAAACTGGAAGGATAAGAAATAAAACTAGTATGCTAGCTGTGAGATGTCATAAACACAATTATTCCTCTTTTTAAAATATGACCCGGTTTTAAAATGATGCGCCTCTTGACCTGGATCCAATATATAGCGCCTAAAAGACCCTGATTATGTAAAATGAGCAAATAATGACCAGTCATGAATTGGAAGAACAGAAAAAACAATATCTCATTTAAATTTACACATAATAACAAGAGTAAACTATTCTGTTCGGAAAAAAACCACTTATAATCATCATTCCCATGTAGAAATTGAAAAGAAAATGGCAAACATCAAATGGAATGTTTTCAACATGATGAAGTTAATTTAACATAAAATTGAAACACAGAAGCGCCAGTTTTTTTATGAAGTGTATTGTTTATAAATGCCATCTGCAAGTGTTTTCTTTTTTCTGACCATCTTTTGTCTTCACTGCTATAAAAAATATATTAATTAATGATAAAATAGTTTCAGAAACATACATTTTTGTCAATTTAATCATTTGTCAAATTTATTGATTTTTCCAAATATGTATCAAATCATCAGAACAATATCAATGATACACTGATGACAGCTCTATTACATTACATGTACATAAAAACATATTAAACAGCGTATTAATTTTGAACATAACTAAAGATAAATTGACAGTGGAGGCAAAGTAAAGTATAACACTTGATAAAATAAAGAACTGTCTAAAACATTCAATCTTCAATACAATGTTCCTTAAGATAAAAAAAAAAACATTCTAAAAGAAAAAATAAAGTAGGTACAAAAATGAATCATAATGATTTGAATGTTTCATTAAAATCTTGAAAGTATTTGCACATGTCACTCAAGAAACCTTGCAATAGAAATGCTTATAACTATTAAAAAGATTATGCCAGTAATAAAAACAAATATTTTATAAGCTTTCCCACCATATTTTTGACACATGATTTTCTAAAAAAAGAAGGAATTTTAACGAGAAAAATATAAAATCTTTGGTATTCTAAACAACTCTTAATAAATGGACTTTAATTAAATGGTAAAAATTTATGTCAAAAAATTAGTAGTAAATACCAAGTGACAACGTTTTATATTAATAAAGAGCTTCAAAAACGTTTTAAATAAAGGATTGAAATAAACATGGATACAGAAATCAAAGAAATTTTGTTCAATTAACTCTTCTTTTTAAATTTCTGTTGTTTCTTCAAAATATCTTTTCTTTATTCCATAGTGAATATAACTTTAACTGAAAAGAATTTTTACGAACATTAGAGGAACTCTACATATAATTTCCGCTTTGAAATAAAATCAAATAAAAGACCAATATCCCAAAGGGATTTACAAAGAAAGTTCATTTCCTAAACTTTTCACTGGCTCATGCTATATTAGCTTTCAACAATAGAGAGAAAGAAGGTTGGAAAAAAGTTTAAGCAAATATTTGTTTCATTCAAATGAATAACTTTAATCTACAAAAATGTGGATTCCACCAGTTTGAACTTTAAACACATTGTGACATTATCCAATGTTTTGTTTAAACATAAAATAAATCATCAAATAAAAATACATTTAAAAAATATCAATTTAAAACTATAAACAAATATATCAAGTGTTGACCGCAAAACTGTTGTAACTTATATGAAATAAAGAAGGACTTATAACAGTTTTGTGGCCATCCCTCAATATAATACAAGACATACAAAGACATACCAGGATTTCAGAAGTACCTTATCACAGTAAGTGTAGAATACATTTATTTAAATCATTAACACATATATAGTACACATCTACTAAAATATGATAAAGAAAACAAAAACACAATGAATTTTTATTAAACATCATGATCAATTTATTATGGACAAAATCTACTCAACCTAACCAACCGTGCAACATGTCATTCCTATCTTAGGCAATTCGTCCAAAACAGCTCAGCTTTTAATATCATTGATTAAAGAACCTTGAAATCACAATACATGTATTTCATTTTCACAATTTCACCAGCATTACTTTTCAAAACCTAGAACCGTGTTTTGGAATAATTCATTTCTAGAATTAATAATCACAACCACATCTTTTACCGACAAATTAAATTCTCGAAATATCAGCTGGTAAATGAATATAAGGATCTTTCACCAGCTACCTGTACAGACCGGAATATTTAGCTTGAGGGTATCTGCAGTTTCCGCTTAACAGTTACTAGAGACATTGATATTCCTGTCTGTTATGACCGCCGTTGTTTGATTTTTTTTTTTGCATATTACAAAATAATATTTTGAAAAGAAATTACGAAATTTAGCCCTTTTCTTATAGTAGAGTATGAATTTACAAATACATTGATAAAGGCACAATGACGTCATCCTAAGAAAGCAATTCATTCATAAAAGACGCATGGGAATGACATCATTTAAAACACATAAGACAGTTTTTTCTAGCACCGGTCCGATATGCAAGAATGATTTATTGTTGCACAGATCTTCAGGCTGGCCATGCTTTATATTGGTGCTGAAAACATATCACTCGTTGTTCTAGCAGTTTATTGGTTAACGAACCGAAGATTTCACTAACTTGAACCATACTTGATTGTCCTAGCAAACTGAGAAATTATGAATTTGTTCTAGCAAAAATTGTGCCCAGGTGCATGTAACAGTGACTTCACTTCCAACAAATGGGCGAAACAAGTCTAAATCTTTCTAACAAATGGACAATACATGTCTAAATCTTCTTTTCAACAAATGGGCAAGCCGCAATACATGTCTAAATCTTTCCAACAAATGGGCAATACATGTCTAAATCTTTCCAACAAATGGACAATGCATGTCTAAATCTTCTTTTCAACAAATGGGCAAGCCGCAATACATGTCTAAATCTTTCCAACAAATGGGCAATACATGTCTAAATCTTTCCAACAAATGGACAATGCATGTCTAAATCTTTCCAACAAAAGGCTAATACATGTATAAGACTATTCTATTAGAACACATTTAACAGTTGAGCACATTAATTATCTATAATAAAATATGCTAATAAATTCAGAGAAAACAGGGTCTCCTCCGAAAAGACTAGAAAAATTCTAGAATGGTATGCAATATTTTTGTAACTCATGAACATGTACAGTACACAATTACTCTTAAGGCTGGTAACTTGTCGAAAGGCTTATAAATCTGTTTCTAAAGAATTTAAATACATACTTTTTTAATTTCATAATATCTTTGAATTTGAAAGGTCATATTAAACATAGAATAACAGCATTTACTATTTTGTTCATTACACAATAATACTGTTTTGTTCTTTCACTCATTTCACTATCAAAGAGGTTTTTTTTTTTTGGTTTCATGTAGAAACATTGGACTAGATAAAAAGAATTTGTGATACATTCTTTAATTATAAAACAACAATGCTTAAATCTAGAAGAAAAATATCAAGTAAATAATTACAAATTAATATAATTTTTGTTCTGATTTTCATGTAAAAGCATGTCTATAAGACGCATGCCCTCCCTATACTCTTAACATAATGAATACATAAAGAGACTTATGAATAGGAATGTACGAATTTGAACATTCATTGGAGAAAATGATGGGGGAGCAAGCACCCAAACTTGTATTTTTCAATATTTTCATGAAATGTGAAGCAAGAATTTAGACCAAAAAAAATAAATTATTCCCATTAATTTAACCATATTTGCAGTATGCAATAAGAGGGTTCAATTGTACAGTAACAAAAGTAAATGACATTATTACCTATAACAAAATTTAAAAATATTTTGACTAAAACAACATTTACTTACTGACTTAAAATAACCTCAATACTAATCATCACAATATTTAAATGAAACCTAAACCCTATATCATGTATTTTGACATTCTGTGTAATGATAATCAAATCACCTAAAATTTAAACACACAAAAAAACAACAACAATAGTACTAAACAGAAATATAAACCGACTATGGAAAACAGAATCTGTAATAATTTCGGCTTTTACTGAACTTGAAAAACTATGGAACACCAAAACTGCACTAATTTCCACTTTTGTTTCTACTTCTATCCGTATGGATGAATCCGTTTGTTTTTATAATCTCAGTATCGTACTTGTGAGCATCATTGTGAACGACAACTTCCGGTGAATGTGGGCGGCTCATCGGATCATCTGTATCCTCCACTGTTTTCTTGAGTTCTACACGAGCTTTACGCACCACAAAAAACATCAATGCTATTGTAAACAAAATCTGAAAAATAGAATTTACCAATTATGTAAATTTACCCTCTCTTTGTCAATGATATATTTTTATTGCTCAATCTCTAGAAAATACAACTTTAATGTAGTTGCAGTCACAATAACTATTCTTTTTTCAATTAAGTATTTCATAGCAAAATTCTTCGCAAAAATTAGCATACATGTAGTTTAGACTAATAGGAGGTATCATGTTTTAAGTTTAAAAATCCAACTATATAAATGAACTGGGAAATAATCTTCTGAAACTCAACCCCAATAGACAGATATATAGAAGAGAAGAAGATATTAATATATATAATTAATAATATCACCAATAATATCAAATTTGCACTATTACAATAATATATCCACACACATATAATGAAATGAATTGGTTGCTATCCAGATATGAAAGGATGGACAAGTCACATTTTCAGAAAACCAGCAGGTTTACAGTAACTGTTAATGTAGACAGTATAAAAGTTAATGTAGTAAGATCTCGTATATGAATTCATTATACAAACAAAAACAACCCCCATATGATATAATATTTATATTATACACTTGTGTACTTAAACAAAGCATATTTCATTTAATTCGGTTACTAGGCCAAATTGCCTGAGAAAACTGCAAAATTTTGACTAATGTCTTATTTTCAATCTTTGAGAAAACTATAAAATTAGGTTAATGAACAATAATAAATGGAAAACTTAAACATGTTGAGTTAATAATGAAAAGTTTTCTCAACGAAACATTATACTCTCCACGGTATAGAACCGGAAATGATACAGATTTAATATGCAAAATTTCTAGAACATAATCTGGTATACAGAGTGAATAATTATCGCTGCATTTCTTATGAATGTATTTTTTGCCTTTTAGGGAAAATATCAGCGCTGAATCTGGTGAAAATACTGTCACAGCTTACATTATCAAGTCTGTGGCGTCAAATCAATTAAACATTAAATAATCATATGACTGCCAACTGTATTACAAAAATACTAGAATTCTTATACTCAACATCTTATTTCATGATATACTGTAATATTAATTATCAAATGAACCCAATCAATATCTAATACCTATTCATAAATAAACCCAAATCATAAATGAACTCTATTCAGTAATGAACCCAAAGAACAACAGATTGTCATTTTACAATCAATAATTATGCTTAATTGCTTATCAGAGCCACTAGGAACAATGAAAAATTTGCCTTAAGAATATCAATCAACAATTAAAGGGACTCCATAGAGGTTTTTGACATGACGGAACTGGAAATAATTTTTCAACATTAATGTACCATTTGATTTAGATCTAGACAAAGAACTTGCATGCAAAATTTCAGATCATTTCCTCACACCATTTATCCAGAATAACACGATTTGGTTGACTTTTTTGTGTTGTCTTCCCTAAATAGCTTAATACCAAGAGTATCATTTTTATGATCCAGGGGTTTAAGTCTATGGTTCGAAACTTCAGTCCAAGCAAAATTTTCTCCATGACAACTGATCTTGAGCATAATGTATCTAATGGTCATTAATTTGTCTCTCATAACTGAATAAAAATTCATGATGGATAAGTAGTCGGTCATGGTACATTGTATGTTGTTTACATGGATTTTTTTTGCATTACTTTTTTTCAAGTTCCATACAAGATTGGGATCACAACTTTTGTGTTTTTTACTTACTTGTTTATTATTATAATTAACCTAAATTGTGTATCAGTCAAATATTGATGACCTTTTGATATAGGAATATTCCAGGATAAAATTAATATTTACAATTTTCTGCAAGTGAATACCCATTCCTCCACAGAGAAAATCTGTAATTGATTCATTAACTTATCAAAATTAATTCCAAACACCCACTTTCACTGCTAACTCACCCTGGCGACCCCTCCCTCCTCTAAATATAATCTGTCAAATACACAAATATTATATACTGTGTATGTGAAAGCTTACGAATACCCTTAAGGACTGGCTTACCGTAAAATCAAAAATGTGTGTTAGGGTTTTCATTTCACATATTTCGCAATTTGAAAATTTTCACAAAAATTTATAAATTTAATATTTGCCAAGTATCAAATAAATTTAACAGAACTGAATGTAGTAATGTACAGAACATATGATCTCGCTATTTAAATAGCATTACAGAAGATAAAACCTCATAATTTAAATAAGTCCAAAATGGTGATTTCTCAAAATTTTCTACTTGCAAAAAAATCTGACTTTACGTAAGTTAGTCACTGACTAACTATACAAGTACTAAAGGCATTAAACTGTTGATCAATATAAAACGGAGACATTTATTCAATGCAACTGACATTATATTGATGGAAAACTACTTTATAATATTGGCCAATCCTAAAGTACCATACCCATGACTTTTAATGCCAACTGCTTTTTCCACTAGACACTGAAAGAACTTCTCTATAGAAAAAATGTTTTATGTTTGTGAGATGTCACAAAGAATAAAAGTAAATGCAGCATAGGTCTAAAGATGTACAAAGACGGAGAGACAGACACGGAGAGACAGACACACGTATGATAGTAAAGGTAGTTATAATTACTTTCCTAGAATAAAAAGAATCTCTATGCAGTATGACTTTATACTTTGTCAACATGATGATGATTAAGATATTTCACTGTTAACCAAATGAAAACAATAATGTATATTTTTAGGTGCAATTCCATTTACTTCAAGACAGTAAATCATTAAGGTGCATATTTCTTTCCAGTCAATCAATAATTCAAGTGTTTCTTCTGGATTAAAAACAAATCATTAACATGCCTAACAGATGTATATGACCAGACAATCAGTCATACATGTATTTTTAGACCAAATGACCTTGAACGAAACCCACCTCAATTGATACCACATATATTTAAAGGTATATGTTTACTTCTTGTTAAATCAATTATTCAGCTGCACAGTCATTTTCTTCTAAACAAAAAATCATTAGCGCAAACATCTCTAGATATCATACAATTACATGTCTTGACAATCACTTTAATTCTTACATGTATAGTGACCTTGACCAAGATCATATCAAAATTTATACCGCCAGCAAGGGTATATAGTCATCTGTGGAAAGTATAAACAACACACTCAATATCAGTCAATTTGAGAATGCTAGGACAAACTGTTAGTAAACATGTAATTGAGACAGAGAGAAATGCTAAAATCATTGGCACCAGTATAGAGAGCCAAATCAGTCTGCATAATTATCTGATCGGATGACTTATTAATAAGAGGTTAATACACAGCAGGAGAGGGCCGGAAGGTGATAATCGGCCCGCAAATTATGGACCCGAGGGCCCGAGGGCCATTATTCATTCAGGGCCGATTATCACCTTCTGGCCCTACTCTGGCATGTATTAATGTCGTTAATACACTTGGTAGATCTAATAGTGGCATTTAAAAAAAAAACAAAAAAAAACAACAACAATTAAGTTCTTTCGTTGAAATTCTTGTCTACTCTTCTACTGTTCTGTACAGAGATGTTTACTGTTTGTGTGTTTAAAGCAGTATAGACTCTAGAAGCAAGTTTTATTTTCATTTTTTTCAGAATGAATTTGTCGTATTATTTCTTCAAATTTCAATAGTACTTAACAAAAATGTGTTTGTACTAAATACGCTTAAGCTCTCATAATAAAAATAAAGCGATTCGTGCTGACAAGCTACTTTCACTTTAACAGTTAACTGTTTGATACGTAAAATATGACATCATTGTTTCAGTTTATGCACGTGCACATGTTCTGCGGGCTGATAACTAGTTCTCGGCCCCGGGCCGCAAACTCATAATAGGTCACGTGACACTCATAATCAGTTGAAATCATAGGCAATTTTGTTACTTTATATAGTAACAAGTGTATTAAAGTTGTTTACATGATTTGGGTGACTTTAATAAGGACCTCCACTGAGGTCCAAAAGCATAAAATCTTTAAATTTGAATTTCTACATAGATCAGCAGGGACACTTAAAACAGAAAGATATGCAAAAGATAATTAAGAAATGTACTCAGAAATATGCTGGTTTTTTTGTGTTTTTCTTAGCCTGATTTGCAATTTTTCATTTTTTTGGTCATGGTCAAATAGGCAAATCAGCAACTGTGTGCTCCAAACATTTTGGGGAGCATACAAACCCAAATGGTGCCATTTAGAGAAACAAAAACAAAACAACTTGCCTTTTCAATGATAAATGGCCAATTTTCCACCACAGATGAAAATACAGTCTGATTAAACCTCTTTAAGTCAAGACAAATCAATTACGGAGTTAATCAATCGCAGAACAAACATATTGTATCAGTCAGTAATTGGACTTAAGTCTACAAGTCCAGTAAATTAACTCTTAATGACATCTTTGTTAGACAATAATCGATCGTAATGATCTAATGCCATGAAAAATGATCCCCCTCTGAAAACCGTTTACTGGAAATGTGTTTTACCCATCATGCAATTTCTCTGTCAGGCTGTCGTAAATGTGCATACTGATGATTATATAGCGCCAAATTTGGAAACTTTGAAACATATCATTTATGCTTCCCTTGGAAAAAGCTTTTAGTCTCCGGAACAATTGTTGCCAAGAGTTCAATAATGCTGTGATAGAATGACACAGAAAGTTTTTGATAAATTATGCCCCTGGTGATTTGGAGAATTTTTTTTATATAATTATGTCTTGGGGACAATATCTCCTTTAAAAGACCTATGCTTATATGTTTATCTCTATAAGCTTTATAAGTTAGGTAAGTGTAGCTTGGTTTAACCCTTAACCTCCTGAATTGACTTTTCCACTTGTCTAGCTTGAATATTTTGGAACTATTATCATATTATCATTATCATGTTAAGGGATATTATGATGAAAATTTGACGTTCACATTATAATGTTGTGCCTGGTAAGACTACACTAAAGTGCAGGCTGGCCTGGCACTATACACTTATTTAACCTTGACCTTGAAACATTTTTGTAACTTTATTAATCTTTCTATAGTTTTCTTCCTGGAACCAATCATTACTGCTAGGTGTAATCTTAACCATGGTTGTGACCCAAGAAGGGCTTGAGTAAAATTTAGAGTATACATAACATTCATTTATTTAAGACATTAAAGTGCTGTTGTAAAGTTCATACAAGGGTAATAATTTCAAATGAAAATTGGGATTTTTTTTTTCATCTTTGTAAAAATACACCATTTTGTTACATTTCATTATACTGGCAGCAAAAAGCTGTATAACAAAGGTTAATTATTTTTAAAACTGAAATCCCTAAATTTTACAATAGAAGGTTCCAAATTTGTGTTTAAGGACCCATCCATTACAAAAATTCTGAGGTAAAAACATTAGAATTAAGCCACAATGATGGCAATCTTATATCATCCCCCATTCACCACTACTACCACATCCTAATTACCAATTACTAATTAGTAACTGGTAGCAAATACTTCATATAATCATAATGATCATAATAATCATAATAATAACCATTATAACCATCTCCTATCCAATGCTTAATTTGTTACCAATTAGCACCATAGTCTTGACACTAATCTATACAAACATCTTTTGATAGGTCTTAATGAGCCACTAACTCATAAAACTAAGTTTAAACAAGTGTTATGCAAAGCCATTAAGACTTAGTTTTCTAGCTTTCTTGTCTTGCAATTTTTGCCCTCGTTAGAAAAGAACTGTTTGATTACATGAGATCGTGCCTCGTGCCAGGCCTGGTATTATCTCATCAAGTTTAATGTCACTAGGAGCAATCATTACATGATAGAAACAATTGTTTTATTGATTCCCCTCTCACATCGTCTTGGAAACCGTATGGTAAAAATAAATAGTGCTCTGCCAGTGTCAGATACTTGTTTTAAGTCACTTTATCTCTGAACTATACTAAATTTGTTTAATGAACTTTCCCTACTTCAAATATGGAATAATTTATTGTAAGTTTGAATGGGATATAACTTTCTGAATACTATAATTAACCCATTGCATGCTGAATTTCTTAAATTGATTTACCCTGTTTTGAATTTGGAATTGTCCATTCAAAGTTTAAGGGATTTCAATATCAAAATAGTAAGATATTGAGCTACCAACAGTATAGAGAGCCTGGTTAGGCTGCATGGATGTCCAGGCTGGCATGACTATATACTGGTGGCAAAAGCAGATCACTTCCAGTTCCAGCAGGTTAAGGTTTAATCACCCAACAGTCTATTATACACCTAGCCAGACTACCATCCTTGGTTTGCAAAGACATTTTTCATTTCTGTTCACACAATTAAAAGAGATAAAGTCATTTCCAAGATTTAATCATGGAAACATCATTGGACTCATCCAAATAGTTTCTTACAACAAAGCATAATTATGGAATGACTAAAACTTTATTTAAACCTTCAAACCCTGACTTCAGTATTTCTGTAATGAACATGCCCTTGGGCTTTAAATACAGACTTTACCACTGATGAGTGAATGCCGAATTTTAAAATATTAATATTGACCAATCTGGTAACTAGAGGTACCTTAAAATCTAATCACAGCTTCTTTGTTGAAAACAATTCATGATTCAAATAACTGAGAAAACTTTATGAGATAGGATTAGATCAAAAAGAACAATTCTATCCATCCCCAACAAGTTTTTGTACAGATTTACAGGGTGTTAATATATAAATGTTGCAGCACTAATAAGTTTTAACACTTACACATATTTCAATCTTACATTCATTAGCAGAATATATGTATATTCACAACAATTTCCACATTTTATAGCTTGACAAAAATCTGCACACAAAAAAAATAAGGCAAATTTCTTCAAAATATTCTTCTTTTTTCAATTCAACATGACTTTAAAAGATGTTACATAATATTATCAATGTGCTTTATTCCAAAAACACAAAGCAAAAACTTTGCATTTAGTTTAGGATTTCTGTCTTGCTTCTTCAATTTAATTAAAATTCTATCTGATATGCAAAAAAATAATGACTATACCATTATCTGAAAAAATGTGAATGTTTTTAAATGTTTCTTAGATTTTTCCCAATTTTCTAACAGTTACCATACCAATTTAAAATGCTTAGTTTTATGCAAATGATGCTAAAACAAGAACACCCAAAAGGCAGGGCAATATAAGGTCAAATGTAAATTTATCTGAGTAATCAAAAATTATCATTCAATCAGACCCAATCAAGAAACTTGCTAACAGACGGACAGATAGACAGACAACCAGGCGCATAACATTGTACGCCGATATTTCTTTGGCCATATAAAAATGGGTGAAATGATCAACCAACCTGAACTGTTAGGACTATCCAGCCAGTAGCTTGGTTAGTTTCATCAGTGAGTATATCATTCATGGAGCGTAGGGTCGTCCCCATGTAACAATTGAGCACCGCTGTTGGCAGCATCCCCAACGTGGACGCTGACACATATGACAACAAAGGTATATCGGTTAACTGAAAAATAACATGAATTATATGTAGTGTATTTCTTGGACTTGAAAATATAAGTTATAACAGTATAAAGGATATTACTTAAAAATTTACAAAATGTTGCTTGAAAAGTACAAAAAAGTGATCAAATGTACATTCTTTATACACAAAATGTGGTGTTTCAATGTTGACATCCATTTGAAGCATTTCACCAATGTCAAGGTCACTGTAAACTTTACTTGGTTTATCTTTAAAAATTCCAGACAGGCAAATTTCCATTTCAAGGTCAATGGCATTGCCAACACTTCATTTTATTTCTGAATACTTCCCAATTATACATTATACTCAAGACAAGATATTTTTCAGGTCTTGACAAGGTCATTGTGACCAAAGTCACATTTGCATTTTTATTAACATGTTTCTATAGTGAATGAGTGGTAAATTTTGTCCCCTTATTTAATCTGCCCTCTGACAACATCAATAATGTCATCTACATATATTGACCTTCATTTCACAGGCTGTTCCATCAAATACATGTAATTTCCCAAATATATTACTTTATTGCTGCCTATAAATTACCCTTACAACCTTTCTTGTTCTTAAGTGTTTTATTTATGAACTACTTAATGGCCCACATAAAATAGAAAGAATCAACTATCAAGCTACCAAAAAGAGATTAGAATAACTAGAAACTGGCTAAGACAAAGTTGATAGACTAAGGTAAAACCATAAATGTGATGTACTTAGCATATATTGCTATATCCTTAAGCCTGGTTGACTGAATGTACAGAACAAAGTTGGCCAATGAGAATTATCTGAGGCCAGGCCTAGTCAGGCAAGTCACTGCGTAACAGAAGCGATGTGTGCACTATTTTTGTTTAGACTGAAGAATAAACATTATAATTTCAAAGAATTTGGTTGGTATTTGATATGTCCTATACTTATTGTTACTGTTGAACACTTAACAACATTAATTTACTAAGCTATTTTAGCACCTCAAATACTTGTAACAGGATCTGGACTCTGGAATATTCTCTCTTATACTCGTATGAAAATTCAAAATAGTAAAACCTAAAACTACATGAATACAAATATGTATGTAAATTAAAAAGTCCAATATAAATAATATATTAAGCTTAAACATAATAAAAATTTATCATATACATATATGAAGGAAATATCAATTTTTTTCATGAACATGATGAAACAGCTGTCATTTTTGTCCAGTTATGAATAAACTACATATATTTTATGCCATTGTTATACATGTACATGTATACCATATAACAGGATATGAATAATATTATGTTGAGATAATTTTCCTGCTCCCTGGTTATGCAAAAATAATTTATCGATTTTTCCTTTGCTTTTCAAAGAGATAATATATCTCACAAGAGCCGGAGCCCTTGATAATGGACCAGAAAACAAGGGTGCCTCACTGTACATACATGTACAATTACTGCTGGTCCATTATATATTGTATGTGTAACTCAATTATATATTTAAATTTTTGACATACCAGTGAATTCTTTCCCGTTCCTTTGAGGGCAATTGAGAGGAGAAAACTGTTTCAAGGAGGGGAAATGGGTAAAATTAGAAACAGATAAAACAGCCCATTTTTCTGTCAAATTGTGATATAATGCCATAATTTTTATGTCCTCTGTCTCACTATTGTGATGAAATGGATCTCTAAAAATTTTTTTTAGAAATAGGGGAAAATATTATATACTCTGTACGGAGAGGATAGGGGCCGAATTTTAGCCCCAAATTTGGTCCTAATAATCACTACATACATTAAAATTGTGGAATCCTAAGAATTAACAATGGGAAGTCCGAAATTTAAAGCAGGAATATTCCATTATATGAAGTAGGTGGGATAAAGCGATAAATTACAAGCATTAAAATAGATCTATAACATCTGGCTCAGATAAAATATATTCTATTCATTTTATGCAAAAGACAACAAAAGCTTTATATGTTGGACAGAAATAAATGTAAACAAAAGAAAACTTCATCGGATAGAAAGAGTTTCTTAATATGTGTGTGACACATTACTCATATACATGTACATGAATAATTATTTGCATCTTTTATATTGTAATACATGTAAATTACATAAAATTAAGCAGTTGCTAAAATGTAATGTTTGCATATAAACTAGGTGCATAGAAAACTAGAAACATTTCCTGCTTAACTTATCAGACAGTGCTGAAAACAAGTGTAACTATATTTTGTTAAGATGCAAAAGGAAAGACCAACATACTTTAAAGGGTTATTTGGTACAAAAATGGTTGTATAATAATAAAACATAAACTGCTAAATTTGCATTATTGATTTGTCCTACTTTGAATAATTTAGAACAGTCTATTCTTAATTTGAGGTGTCTGTGTTGTATTTTCATTTTGTAAATGGCCAAAAGTGATCCCCATGTATTTATATACTATTCTTATACATGTATGGCTAAAATACAAATGAATGAATAAATGAATGAATTAATGAAAGAATGAATAAATGAATCATTAAAAATTTTTGTGTCAAAATACTTAAAATTTAGCAGATAATTTACTTATATAGCATTGAAACTGGATGAATAGTGACTGGTCAAGAACAAATCTTTATCATCAGGGTTATTCCCCTTTAAATCAGGTCACATTATGTTTATCACATGAATCACAAATTATATTGACCTGTATATTAAACTACTGCCCTTAACTCAATGGATTTAAACCTACACACCATTATTATCAACTATTTTTATATGATACTACTGATTAATATTGAGATTACTGATAACATATAACATTAATTTTTGACGTATATACATGTATATTATGATACATTATTACATGATGTAGATAGATGACACACTTATTAGACGTGTTACTATAATTATAAAACCTGTGTAATTAGAAACATTACATTATAACATATTAGTATAATAATATATATACATGTATACAGCAGATCCATATGCCATTTAAAGTGCATGCTTGTAACTTAAGATTTCTGTTGGAAAAAGGCGCCAATTATATAATACAGTCAAACTTTTAATGTACATGTACACAGCTGCTGTCATTTTGCCTCCAATTTTAAATGTGACAGGTTACATGTTTAGCCTATAGGATGGTGTATAAATGGCTCTTTGCAATATAACCTGAGCTACAAAACTTACAATGTACAACCATTTATTTATTGACTGGGTTTAAAGCAATATATATGACTTCCATTGTGTTGCTGCAACATAAAAGTTTTATGTCTCACCAACACAGTTCAAGTCATATGGCAACTTTCAAACTTTACTGGTGGAGGAAGATCTCAGGTACCCTTCAATGCATTATTTCAGGCATGAATGGGCACATGAGTAGAACCATCAACATTCAATAAGATACCTGGATTGCTTCCTCAATTAATTAATGAAAGAATTCAAAGTCCCTGTAGGGATTCGAACACACTAAGGCGAGGGGCAAGTGGTTTCTAGTCAACAAGTGACCTTAACCTGTCATCCACAAGCAAGAGTGGCTTTGAAAAGATAAAGGATGTGTTATAAAAAGATACAATAGAAGTCTTTGATACTTAAAAACAAAATATACTTGGAAAAAGCTGTCTGGATAGTTCATGATTGAAACGAAGGGGTTAAGGAAGGTATATAAAAATAGCATCAAAAGTGTAATACTTACAGAAAATAAGCTATTTTGAAGACCAAATGGTAGAGGTGTAAGTCTAGTTAATGCCACTACTTTAAAACCATGTTTACCCCCAACTACAGATATCACAGCTGTCATATTGTCATTATAAAATTTCTTAATTATAAAACTACGACAAAATCTTTTCATCGTCACATGAGCTATAGCTACTCCTACGGCGCTACAAACTTCCACCACTATCGGTCCATAAATTAATCCGTATAAATATCCGCACGCTATCATTAAAAGAATCACGCCCCACGCCATTGGGTACGACACTATGGTGTAAAGAACCAAAAATATCAAAAAGCTGACCGTGAGGTCAACGTTTTCCATCCATACTAGAAGATCTTTGATGTAATCTCGACATAATAAAAGAAGAAAGCAGATGATCGCTATTAACACAAAAGATGACAGCGTCACCTGATAACAATTCGTTTTCTTATTATCCGTACCAAAATCAAAAGTTTCCCGCGGCTCACTAATAGCTGGCGATGAGACCTTGTCCAGCTTGTTGTTGCAGACGTCGATTGTAAAATCTGTCGACTCAATGCGTGGACACTGGTGTGACAGGAAGACCTGATCCATTGTTGACGTCCCGCCAAGAAGAAATTCTTTAGCATCGTTCGCGTGTATGTTTTGTAAATTATCTTTCCACATTGTCATCTTGCTTTTCACGCTTTTAACTTCATTTCCTGTTCAGTAACTATCAATTAAAACAATTTGTATACAGTCACAATTTTGATTGTCTTTAACAACTCATTTCTGCTTTGAATTTAGCAACACCATTTTTTTCATCATTTCTACTTTGTTTAGCATGAAATAAAATACATGTAGATGTAGTAGATTTCTTCCTTGATGCTTTTGTTAACCATAAATATGAATCAAGCACTTCTTGTGATTAATTAGTTCACACTAGCGCATTAATTTGTAGATAAATCTGCCCTAAACCAGTGTCATAACACTCCGTTCCAAGGGTAGAAGTCCAATTGATAACCAAGTTATAGATACATACTTGAGACGCCAACCAGCCAGCCTCACTGATTGTTAACTAATTCAATAATCAGTCAATGTAGTGAAATAATCAGCTATTGGCCAGTTTTTCCATGACCTGTAAAATAAAGAAAAATATTACAATGTAAACTGTAACAAATTGATAACAAAAGTAATCAGCCACTGCATTTAAAATTATCAGTTATTGACCAATTTTGCAACGAATGCCCTGAAAATAAAAGAAAAATTTCTTTACTGTAATATTCATTACTCAATAAATTATTATTATCAGTAAAAACAGTCAAATTATCAGTTATTGGCAAACCATTCTGAATCACTGAATGATTCAGTGACCTGAAACTATATAATATGGGAGCAATAAGCTAATAACTTTTATAATATCATAATCTATAAAAGCAATTAAATGATCAAAGATCAGTTTTTCATTGGTTTTCTGCAATATAAGTACAATGTAACTTGTAAGTAATTCAATTTTATTAGTGTTGTGACATTGTGTAAAGTATACTACATGAAAATACAATAAAACAAATATAAGCAATGCATACAGAATATTTTGCTGCAGTAGCTTTCTGGGGCTTTGTATTTTACGACAAGCAGTGTGGGCAAATTGTTATGATCAATTGAGATATATCAACATTCCAAGCTGCCAGTACCATTAAATACACTGCCTCTGAAAGCTACTACAACATAATTTTTCTTTCAATTATTATTATTATCCTTGAAAATCTTTAAGACAAAAAGAGATTTAATTTACTGAGATATATAAGTTATAACTAATTTCACAAACAGAAATGTAGTGACATAATGGCCCATTTAATCATTGTATCAACATGTTCATACATTATGTACATGTAAAACAGGGTTTTGCTGAACATTTCATCAACTATAGTAATTTAATATGAATGAAAATATCACTGAGTGTCCGACTGTGATATATTCATTATTTATTCATGTTTGGTATTTACCAAGAGGAGGAATTAACCTTTTCAATTCACCATATATAAATTATGATACATAACCGTACCATGTATAAAATACTATTTCATACAATTCATCGACTTATAAAACCCTACAAGAAACTTACTAAAATACCCTTGTACACGTAAAATATTTAATACTTATACTTCATTACTAATATAAACTGGACTTGCACAAGATTTAAAGGTCAAGTTTTGTCTAATTATAGAAGTAAACTTAAAGTATTACATAGTTTTTCAAAGTTAAGTGCATGACCATACATAAAATATATGTTATTATCTTTTTATTCATACACATGTACATATTACTGTATATATAATACTTACTAAAATATAGACTTAGATTCTTACATGTACACCTATATACATGTACGTCTGTCTTTAAGAATTTAATCATTTTGCAATATCTATAATAATGTCATTCAACAAAACACATTTATAGAATTAGAAGCCTGTAATTATTCCAATGTAATAATAATATGCTAGTACATTTCCCCCCTTGTAACTAAACTTGATATTAAGTTATTACACTATTTATGTGAAAGCCCTACATGTATATCACTGAATTTTTTATTTGCATCCTTAGCCAATATTTTATTCCTTGGTGATCAAATTAGTTTCTAATCATTGACAATACAATCCTTAAATTGGTGTCCTGAGAACAAAATTAGTTTTCTAATCCTATGTTTTCTAATACTTAACAACAGAATTACTTTTCTTATTCTCGATTTTCTAATACTTGGCAACAGAATTACAAATTCTAATCCTAGGTTTTCTTATATTTGGCAACAAAATTGGTTTTCTAATCCATAAGATTTCTCAATCAAATGCTTGACTACAGAATTGGTTTCTAATCATTGTCAATATAAAAGATTTTCTAATATTTTTTTCTAGCAATACATTTTGTGCTTGTACTGTAACACAAATTAACTAACCAGTTTATGACTACTTTATTATCAAAATGGCAACTAAACCACAAAAAATCAAACCAGCAAATTATTGAAGGGCCCCATTTATAAACTCGAAAATATAATCATTTTTGATACCATTCAAATTTATGCCATTTGTATTCTCGTAACACTGTTCCAAAAACCTGTTTATTGCTCAATTAGTTGGTATAATGCGCACTAAAGCCACTGTGCCATATATTAATGGATACTATTATACCCTTGTATTTGACTTCTCCAAATCCCTCCGGAGGCGTGCACGTCGCGGAGAAGGCACACGGCAGGTCAAGGTCAAGTCATCTTAAGTACCAAAGGTGATTGGTTGACCTGTCGTGACTAACTCTGGAGGGTTGGCGCTAACGAGAGCCGTTTTTGTTATCGTCCAGTATGGAGCTTGATGCCTGGCCAGTATTGTCGTACTCCTCTACCACCAACGAACGAAGAATAGGCTTCAGGAAGATTCAGCATGAAAAAGACGTCCCCGATGTGACTACCCTAGTGGACCAGCACGGATGCTATATTCTCGGACAGATGGTTTAACCGGCGCCGAGTATAAATAAACTCAAACTGACTGACTGACTTGTATTTGTGAATCAACTTGACCTGTATCAAGAAGGTCAATGGCAAATGGCCTACATCAACAGGTATTCAAAACTTTTTATATATATGCATGTACATGTACAATAGAGGAATGAGTTTATTGACCTTTTATTGTGATTGAAATCTGAGTGAGTCAAAACAAAACAACACTACCATTTCCCTCAGAGGCTTTTAAAGTGTATCAAGTTATGTATCTGCTGTATTTTTGTGCTGTATTTTTGTGGGGAGAATCAAAATTTAATATACTTGTATGCAAAAAATATGTGAAAATATATGTAATCATGCAAAAAAATAAAGAGTGAATGGCACATGCAGGAATTCATTGAACCCTTTGGCTACTAAAATTAGTAGGATAATATTTTGTCCTGGAACATTTTATTATGTTTACCGTACATACAATAATATTCATATGTGTTTAATAAGAGAGACTTTCTATGTTACAACTTTTTCAAGAATCAACCATAAAATTATGAAAACAACATAATTTTATTATAAAATTATAATTATTGTTCATAAATTTTATAAAATATTTCTTAGATATTGCTTTACAATCTATAAATATCTCCAGATAAATATATTACATACATGTACATGTAGGTTAACCCGATATACACAAATTACTACATTCTAAAATGACATTTCAATGATTTCAGCTCTGTAATCCATTAATATGTACAGTTTGTAATTTGTAATATATAACCTTTCGGGGAAAAGGTCATGTTGAAATGAACTACATGTGTATAATGTACAACTTAAAACTTAAGTAATAGGATTTTAAAACACACTGGTGTCCTAAATTTTAACTTAGGGTGTAAAAATGTGCATTCAAAAGATTAGCATTATTGCAAAATACTAAAGTATTTATATATCTATTATCAACTTTAAACCCGCTAAACTTTAAGTTTTCCTGCTAACCATTAAATTTCGTTAGTGTTTGAAATTATTTTTGTCCAATAGGATTGCAGTATTTCAAATGAATTGTAACACATTTACTTTGGTAAATTGGCAAACTGTTAATCAGTCTAGTAAATCAACTGTTTATAAGAATAATTTAAAACACTAAGCAGGTTTAACTTTATTAGTATGTATTTACAAAATTAAATTTGTTGTGCGGCTACGCCGCGTCTGACCAATTTAATTTTGACAATACATACTAATAAACTTTATCCTAGTATACTTAATGTCAGATATTTTTGTATTACAATACTCATTAGTTTGTAAGTCAGGCTACACTGATGTCTAAAAAAGATGGGTTGTCATCATTGCTAAATATACATGTACCACAGTCCCAGTTTTTAATCTCATTGTAATAATAATCCATGAAAAGTGACAAATGTACATAATTACAAAAAATTTAAAAGACATCATGAAAGAAACAAGAGGGCCATGATGGCCCTGAGGTCGCTCACCTGTATATAGCCCCCCCCCCCCCCCACGGTAGGGCCAATTCTAACCCAAGGGCTTTTATTTGAACAAACTTGGTAGACACCAATAAGATGATGTTTCATGCTAAACATCTAAGCTCTAGCTCATTGGGTTTTTTCAAAGAAGATTTTTTAAGTTTTTACTATACACATATAGTTAAAAACAATGACACCCCTGGGGCGGGGCCAGTTTTGACCCCAGGGCTTTTATTTGAACAAACTTTGTAGACACTTACTAGAAGATGTTTCATGCTTAATATCTAAACTCTAGCTATTTGGGTTTTTTCACAGAAGAGTTTTAAGTTTTTGCTATACACATATAAGGAAAATCAATGACCCCCGGGACGGGGCCAATTTTGACCCCAGGGCTTTTATTTGAACAAACTTTGTAGACACTCACTAGGAGATGTTTGATGCTTAATATCTAAACTCTAGCTATTTGGGTTTTTTCAAAGAAGAGTTTTTAAGTTTTTGCTATACACATATAAGGAAAATCAATGACCCCCGGGGCGGGGCCAATTTTGACCCCAGGGCTTTTATTTGAACAAACTTGGTAGACACCCATTAGAAGATGTTTCATGCTAAATATCTTAGCTCTAGCTCTTTGAGTTCTTTAAAAGAAGATTTTTTAAGTTTTTTACTATATGCATATAGGGAAAATCTATGACCCCCTGGGGCGGGGCCAATTTTGACCCCAGGGCTTTTATTTGAACAAACTTGGTAGACACTCATTAGAAGATGTTTCATGCTAAATATCTTAGCTCTAGCTCTTAGGGTTTTTTAAAAGAAGATTTTTTAAGTTTATACTATATGCATATAGGGAAAATCAATGACCCCCTGGGGCGGGGCCAATTTTGACCCCAGGGTTTTCATTTGAACAAACTTGGTAGACACTAACTAGAAGATGTTTCATGCCAAATATCTAAGCTCTAGCTCTTAGGGTTTTTTAAAAGAAGATATTTAAAGTTTTTTCTTTCGGTTGCCATGGCAACCAGAGTTCTGCATGGAATTAAATTCTTTGAACAATTTTTAAAGGTGACCATTAAAGGAACATTCCTGTGAAGTTTGGATGAAAGTGGCCTAGTGGTTTATGAGATGTCATTTAAAGTAAAAGTTTACGGACGGACGCCGGACGGACGCCGGACGAAAAGCGATCACAAAAGCTCACCCTGTCACTTTGTGACAGGTGAGCTAAAAATGAAAATAGCACTTAAAAGCCTTAAATGATTAAAATATGACTGCAAAAATTATTGTACAGGAAATTTTTGCATTTCTCCATAATAAATATTACTAAGAAGTCAAGTCTTTTAAATAAGTACAGTAGAATCCCTACTTAAACCACCTAGGAATTAAGACCACCCTGCTATTAAATCCAATTTTTAAAAGAATGGAATTTTCTGTTCTTAATATCTACGGCTAGCCAAAAGTTCTAGCCGTATGTGAGTCACGTACTGCTAGCCAGGACACACTGAATTGTCTAGCCGTATGGCACTTCTCAAAATTATATGAAAGTCAAGAATGTCTTTAAGCGATGATTTTAACAAAGAAACAGTTATTGTGTTCGTTTGTTTACTTTTTAGATTTGAATCGCCGTTTTGCTACAGTACAGTAAAGAAAGTACGAAAATCAATCTTTTTTTTGTCATCTCCAGACATCAATAAAAAAGAGTGTTAATTAAGTTGCAGCTGAATTACATCAATTGAAATCCTTTACATGCAGGGCTAAAACACCATGTTTGGGGAAGGGGCCTCAGCCTTTTTCTTGGGGAAAATAGTCATGATTTTGGCATACTTTGGGAAAGGGGTCTCAAATTTAACACAAACTTTTAACAAGTTCTTCAAAATAGAAAAGCAAAAAGCACTGGGAAATACTGATAAGATTCAATTGATTCAATTTCAACACCATCATTTAATTTTGTTCTAAATTCTATGGGAAATTTCAAAAGACTTGCGAATTTTGACTGGGGAAAAAAAAGAGGCTAATATTTGGTTAAGGAAGCAGCCTATATTTTGCCTCTACAAAGGTTTACTTGGTCCTGACATGTTTATTTTTAATATTCTTTTTTTGTTCAGTAAGTTTAATTCTCAATACCTTTAAAATAAAAAAAAAATAAAATATTTATTGTTGGACTCTAATAATTAAATAATCAAATAGGATGGTCCCCTATGGTACCACTGTTCTTATCATTTCCAGCAAATTGTACAAATAAAAAGAACTTGTATTTACTATTTTATTGAATTGTGTTTAGCTGTCGCATCTTGACTTTAAAATACACATGTCATTAATAGAATAACTCAATGATTTAAATTAGAAACACTTATGGTCAGTCAGCCATGTTTTGAATGGGAGCTTAAACGGAGAGCACTATGGTACCGTGGTATGTTAATTGATGGCCCTTTTTGGCTTCAGTATAACTTTTTGTAACAGAATATGATGTCAATACAGTTTCAGCAGACAACATTTACTTGTCGAAACATGAAATTATCAGTTTAACCTTTAAATATGGGGTAAAATAAAGAAGTGTTTTCAACACGCACGGGCAGCTTTGGATTTTCCTATCAATGACAGAATTTATTTGAAATGAAAAACATTTCTTACAATTTCTATCCAAATTCACAAAAAGCAGCACTTTCAATTTCACTTAAATGGTGGAAACAGTATTTTGTGGCATTCAATGTGTAAAGAAACAAATTTTCTGATTACATCGGAATAAGCAAGGACGCGGTATCCGCGGGGAGTACTATACCGACAGTAAAAGTTTGTCCACCAGTTATTAGGAAAGTTTGCATGTTCCTTTAAATGCATTTTTAATTAAGGCTAATTGATTTTGATTTTATGTTCAATTACAATATAACATTATATAATCAAAAATAAAATTATAAATATTAACAGACGACGCCCAGGTTCTAGTGAGAATGCATTTATTTTTGAAATTGACGAAAACAAGCTTTTTTCACTGTTAAATGATTATTTACCCATAAGCCTATTTTAATTAACAAATAAATGATATAATAATTCATCTTTCATACAAATAAAATAACAAATCATAAGCTAAAAAACAAAGACGTTATATATGTAACTTTGGCATTTATTTGTAAGTATTTCCATTGTACATATTCTTTTTTTTACAAAATGGCGGAATATGATTACTAAAGTAAACATATCAGTGTTGCATCTAGAATTTCAAAATTATGAGGGATTGTCCCCCCACTCAATTAAAAAATGTGGGGGATTTGAAAAAAATGTGGGGGACATACATAAATTTATCTTACAATATGACATACCGAAAAGTAGGGATTAAACGATGATCGAGTATAATCGATAATTGATCGTTTATAGGACCAATTAGCGATGATCGAATACAAAGTTCAATAATCGATCATCGGTTATTTATCTTCTTGCTCTTACTTACAATGTAAGTGACTCGCTGTAAATATAACAACACTTTAAATTACAGCCAGCTTTGGTGTACCCAATAACTTACATTAAAATGAATGAGTAAGCACACTGGTGACCATGAGATTAATAGTTGACAGTGAGGCATTCTAGTTTAAAGACATACTATGCTAAAATTTAAAATTAGAAAATGTCTACACAGTCTATTTGTAAATATGAAATAAACATGTTTTGACTTCAAACAAAGAAGATATGTATAAAATTATTCTACACACTGAAGATGGTAACAATATCAACATATAGTGTCATTAAAAACACCTTTTGTTAATGACCAACTTCTCTTGTTCTCATACAAAGCTTATTCATTCCTTTATTGGAATTGAGACATAATAATTTCATAGATATAATGAATTTATTTGATTAAAATATTTTACTCAAGGATGAACATAAGCATGAGTAACTAGTTTACTTTAATCTTAAGTGGTAGTTACACAAAATATAGATTATTAATGGAATTCTTATAAAATATTTAAGCATGATATGTGCATTGTACATATTTACTTTGTTATCATAATTGTTTCGATTATATAATCGATGATTGATCGAAAAAGGTTGTTTGATTATTTTCGATGATCGATTATGATTTTTTCACAATTAAGAAACCCTACCGAAAAGAATACATTTTTTTTTACGTTCAGGCATTTTTGACAGCTATCGTCCGCTCAAAAACGGAAGTAGAAAAAATAAAATATTGACGAACAGCGTTTTTTCCAATACTTTGGGAATGGTGCCGGTACCAGACTGATTGGGAAAAAATGCGTTATTTTGACTTAAATTGGGAATTTTTATTATGCATTTTTTCAGCTACAAATAAGATTAGTCATCATGAATAAAGATAGCTAACAGCTTCCACTGTCCAGGTAGAACTATTGAGTGGTGATTTATATGAATATCTTGGATTATAATTATTTGAGAGAAATCTCATGGCCTTGTAGGAATTTTGAACAGCCATTTTGGGAATTTAAACATTGGAAATTGGGAATTTTAATGCCTATTTTCTATTGGGAACTGTGCCGTTTTAGGGTAGTAGTTATATAAAGAAAAAAAACACTGACTAATACTACAAAACACACGCGAGATGACTCAGTCGACTGCTACAAGCGATTTAGTATGTATTTTAGTCATAACCACAAGTGAAAACAAACATGGCTGAAGCGTTCAAGATACAATGAAGATAAATTGAATTAAGTTGAAAAGATTGTCAGATGCGCAACTTGATGCGCACTGACTTCATTAAAATGCGCGATCTGCATAAAAAATGCGCAAATCGCGCGGCCTAGATGCAACACTGCAAATGTGGACAGATGCAGGCTCTTGCTTAAAATACCCGTTTCAAGACACAAAAAACAAGTGCATTTTCGACATTCATATAATACAGTGTGTCCTGGCTAGTCGTATGTGACTCACGTACGGTTACGGCTAGCCACTTCCATTCCAAAGACGTATGCTCCTAGGAAAGATAGCCATCATATCAAGTGGAAATAATGGAAAGATGCAATACAGATTATGAAAAATGAATAACAAATATAGCCAACATGTATTACTAAGGTGCTTTAGAAAAATTCTTCGATTTACTAGTATAATGTTTCTTTGACACAAATATTTGAAATTCGACTCTTGAGGGAGGTGTGTCACCCTTCACTTCATCTATGAAAATAAATAGATAATCATAAAATATTGCTGAAAAAATGAATTAAACTGTTCATAATTAATTCCTTTTCTGTTCAGAAGCAAGTTCTATAGTTATAAACATTTAAAAACTTACTATTTTGTTAGTTTTCATGACGACAGTACATGTTGATGTTTAGAGAGTTGGCCGCTTGTATCGTTCAGAAAAAAGTGTGATTAAGAATCCAACGATGTCAAACTACAAAAAAGAGTATTTTATGAGCCAACCCTGACAGTATTGAATAAAATCTGGAAATCAGATGTATATTTTTCTGTGTTCCGGTTGTTACATGTTCACAATTTTGTTTTTTATGTCACATGTTCTTATGAACCATGACAGTATTTATTATATCAGAATTTAAATGATGTTGGCACACAGTATGATGATGTCAATCTTGAAGACCTTCAGGCATTAAACGAAGAGTTAAATGCACCATTGACCGAATCAGCCATAAAATCTTTAACAAATGGAAAAGTTCTGTTGTTATGATTCCTATGTTTTGCAATTTATTTGATATCTTTTTTTTCCCAGAGATATATAAGGAGTGAGTGATTTTACCATTGTTTACCATTTATCTCTGTTAAAAAAGCTAGAAAATCTTTACTATCTGTAGATCTACAGATCCACTGCTTATCCGTTGTGAAATTTGGGGAATAGAAAAGTAAAAAAGTGTATTGATCAGTTTCAGCTTAAATTTTACAAAATTATACTTAACCTCAAGCAAATTAATTCCAATTGTATGTTATATAGTGAGCTTGGAGTTACTCCGATATATTTTTAAAAAAAGGAGAATAAATAACTACTGGTGTAAGCTTTTGAATGTTAAAGATGATAAGATTTGTAATATTATATATAAGACTGCATACTTTTATATGTGAGATATAGAAATGAATTACCGTGGCTTCCTTGTGTGAGGGATACTTTTGGCGAACTTTTTTTTATCAAATTACAAATTAAGTCAACTGATAAATTTTGACAAAGCTAAGGTTATTTGGATAGGCTCTCTTAAATATAGTACTAGGTCCATTAAGACAAGATGGAAATTAACTTGGGGTGATACTCAGTTCAAATTGTTAGGTTTAATATTTGATGTTGATTTAGAAAAAATGATTTACTTAAATTTTAATGAACTAGAAATGTGTCATCATGCCACGGATGCCCCCGCATGCAGCCAAAATTTCAAATGTTATAATATTTAGTTCCAAATTTGTTTGCACAAATTATTTTTTTCATTTTAAGTTCAAAGCCCTTAAAACTTTTCAATGTTAACACAAACCATTTTCATACAATGTTCAAGGCACTGAAATTATTCAGTCTAAACCTTTTGAAAATAGCATATTTCATATTTGTAGCCAAAATAATGGCTACATACATTTCAGTGCTGAAACTGAAAGTTCAAAATTTTTCCAACATTCAAGAAAGTTTATTAAAGTTTGTCCAAAATCATTGAACCAAGACCAAACTCAAACTTAAACTGCTTATTCCTAAGATGTATCTATATTATTTTCAAAGTGAAAGGGACATAACTCTGCCAAAAAATCATCGAACTATGACCTAATTCAAACTTGACCTGCCCATTACTTTGACATATCCATATGTCAAATTTGAGTTGTTGGGTAGATAATGAACAGAAACTGTAAATTTCATATTATTTTCAAAGTGAAAGGGGCATTACTCTGCCAAAAATCATTGAACCATGACCAAATTCCAACTTGGCCTGGGCATTCCAAAAACATATCCATATGTCAAATTTGAGTTGAATGTGTTGTACCGTTGGGGAGATAATAAACAGAAACTGAAAATTTCATATTATTTTCAAAGTGAAAGGGGCATAACTATGCCAAAAATCATTAAACCATGACCAACTTTGAACTTGACTTGCGCATCCCTGTGACGTATCCACATGTCAAGTTTGAGTTGAATGTGTTGTACCATTGGGAAGATAATGATCGGAAACTTAAAATTTCATATTATTTTCAAAGTGAAAGGGGCATAACTCTGCCAAAAATCATTGAACCATGACCATATTCAAATTTGACCTGTATTTTCTCATGACATATCCATATGTCAAATTTGAGTTGAATGTGTTGTACCGTTGGGGAGATAATGAACGGAAACTGAAAATTTCATATTATTTTCAAAGTAAAAGGGGCATAACTCTGCCAAAAATCATTAAACCATGACCAAATTCGAGCTTGACCTGTATTTTCTCATGACATATCCATATGTCAAGTTTGAGTTGAATGTGTTGTACCATTGGGGAGATAATGAACAGAAACTGAAAATTTCATATTATTTTAAAGTAAAAGGGGCATAACTTTGCCAAAAATCTTCGAACCATGACCAAATTCGAACTTGACCTGTATTTTCTCATGTCATATCCATATGTCAAATCTGAGTTGAATGTGTTGTACTGTTGGTGAGATAATGAACGGAAACTGAAAATTTCATATTAGTTTCAAAGTAAAAGGGGCATAACTCTGCCAAAAATCATCGAACCATGACCAAATTCGAACTTGACCTGTATTTTCTCATGTCATATCCATATGTCAAATTTGAGTTGAATGTGTTGTACCGTTGGTGAGATAATGAACAGAAACTGAAAATTTCATATTAGTTTCAAAGTAAAAGGGGCATAACTCTGCCAAAAATCATCGAACCATGACCAAATTCGAACTTGACCTGCATTTTCTCATGACATATCCATATGTCAAATTTGAGTTGAATGTGTTGTACCGTTGGGGAGATAATGAACGGAAACTGAAAATTTCATATTATTTTCAAAGTAAAAGGGGCATAACTCTGCCAAAAATCATCGAACCATGACCATATTCGAACTTGACCTGTATTTTCTCATGACATATCCATATGTCAAATTTGAGTTGAATAAGTGCAACCGTTACTAAGATAATGAACGGAAACTGATGATGACGGAATGACAGAATGACGGAAGGACGGAATGACGGAAGGACGGAAGGACGGAACAGGGTAACACTATATGCCCCGGCCATTACATGGCGGGGGCATAAAAACTTCAAAAAGTAAAAAATAGTATCATTCACTGGAAAAAGAGAATATTAACTCCAATAGGAAAAATTGCTGTTATTAAGTCAATATTGCTTCCTTTATTTACTCACTGTTTCACAGCCTACCAACACCAAATACTGTATTTTTGAAAACACTTAATGACTTATTTTTTGATTTCATTTGGGAAGGCAAGGCAAAAATAAAACAATCAGTACTTATTAAAACATACATAGAAGGTGGTTTAAACATGGTTGATATTTATAGTTATATACATAGTTTAAAGATAAAATGGTTTAAAAGATATGTTAGTAATAGCAAAAGTAATGTTATAAGCTAGTAAACACAATGTTTAATATTGATAAAATTTTTAACACTGGTAAGATGTTTTGTAATTTGATTATTAGTAAAATAACAAATTCTTTCTGGATTGATGTTTTAAAAGCTTATATGGTGTTTGTAGATAAACTTTGTATAGATAATATAGAGCAAGTATTACATATGCCACTTTTTTACAATCACAACTTTTTAGCAGGAAATAGATATATTTACATTCAGACATTATATAATAAAGGAATCAGATTTGTAAAAGATATTATAAATGAACAGGGTAACTTTGTAGATTTGATATATTTAGAACAGGTCACAGGTAAACCTGTGAACTTTTTACTGTATCATAGTTTAAAACAGGCAATAAAAATGTACATGCAAAAGTTAAATATTTTTATTAGTAACAATTTGCTTAATGTTCAATATCCTATAATAAATTGTTATGTTAAACCTATTTTAACTATAAATAACAATAAGAAATATGTTTATGAAATTATAGCTAAAATTCAGACATACCTACAAGTCAAGAAAGGTGGAACACATGTTTCAAAGATAATAACATTAATTGGCAGTTAATATACAGTTATGTTTTCAAATGTTCTAAAGATTCATATATTCAGTGGTTCCAAACAAGAATTATTCATAGAACTTTAGCTACAAACTAACTTTTGTTTAAAATGAAAATTGTTGACAATAAAATGTGTACTTTTTGTAAATGCTGTGAAGAAACACTTTTACATTTATTTTGGCATTTATTTTGGGAATGTCAGAAAATTCAAAGCCTATTTCAATACCTTAGAGAAAACTTACATAATTTTGATGATGTTCTTTGTTGTAAATCATTCATATTAGGTACAGAAACTAAAGATTTTAAATATGACATATTGTTTCTAGAATTGAAGAGATATATTTATTTGTCTAAGAGAACAAACTTTTTACCTACATGTATTGGTTTTAAAAATAGTTTGAAATTAGCATGGAATATCTATAGAAATACACATTTGACAGATGATGAAAATAATAGATGGTCAATTATAAGATCCTTAATTGCTTAAACTACACTTAATATGTGAAACAAAACTTTACCTCGTAACAGATTGTTAAATTGTTTATTAATAAGTAGTATTTTTTATTGGTAAAATATTTTTGGAAAATAGATGGGTTTATTGTATGTATGTTGTATATATTTATATGCAAAATATATACTGATGTTTATAGATGTTTAGATGTTTTTGACAATATTTACATGAATATAATTATTTTGCAACATGTATATTGTATATTAACAATGTAAGGTATGATGGAGGATGACCCCGACCCCCTCATTCCTATTACGGGGTAAATAAACGGGGTTACCCAGATTGGGCCTAAAAAAAAACAACAACAAAAAACAAAACAAAAACAAATTAAGTCAACTGTACCCAGTCCGCTTAATTTTAAATGTCTTGTTAAGTCCAAACTTCGAGATCAGTTCATCTAAAGTGGAAACAGTGATGTCCAATCTTTAAGCAAAATGTTTTAAAAACTACCGTTATATAAATCAGAGTTTGTATTGGAGGGTTATTTTAACATATTTCCTTGGCAACTGTCTTCAGCTTTGTTAAGATTTAGATGTATGAATCATAAAAATTATTTAATGTCAATTGAGAAAGGTAGATTCCTAAATATAGAGATAAGCTTATGTATACTATCTCTATTACTGTTCACATTCTGTTAATAGTAGACGTAAATTTATTAAACCGTATTATTATAGGTATCCTAATGCATTGAAATTTGAAGTTGCATAAATGCAAAGACTTACCATGGACTATGTCAAAAGAAAATTTCAGGTGCATCTTCCATACTGGTTGTAGAGATAATTCCGGCACTAAATCACATATTTTTGCAAAAATCTTCCTGTACATTTTAAATATTGAACCACCTAAAAAAATTCAGTTCAAAGACTTTACATTACACTACAAAAAATATTTATGAAAATGGAAACTGGTACTGCTTTGAGAATCCTGAATGAGGTATACAAAACATAGTCTTTTTACCCCACAACAGTAGATAAAGTCAACACTTAAATCTTAAAGTAAAAATGAATGGAAAAATCAGCATCACTAATTTATTTTTACATCTAATATGTTTTATCTATTTTTTGTTGATTTCTAAACATTTTTTTTTTAAATCTTGTCCAAGTCAGTTCTCTGTGGTCAATACAACTCTAACTACCTTATTGTAATTTAGAAAAAAAAAGAACATTTTGAAAGCTTTTTTTTGCCTACACAAAGTTTAGGTTATTTGAAAAACATTAAAAAGTTTACCAACTTACAAAAATCATTCTGTCCTGCTCCTGTACTACTAGGTGACCATGTGCTTGTTTGTTAAAAAAAGTTATAACAATAATTATTATATTTATCAACTTTGTGTCGGGTTTATCTATGTGTCTGAGTTATTTATCTAACCAGTACAATTCCTGGCCCTAGAAAATATAAATCTTTGTTTTTGCAGAGTTCACTTTTAAAATTCTAAACATTACAATATTCTTGCATAGCATTTTATTAAGTCTGAAGCTCATCTGCATTTCTGCTAAAATTACAATATAATCAGTATAATGGAGCAGACGTAAAATTTCTTGCTTGTGTTTATATTAGAATTGGGTTTAAAAAATATATTGACAGTCACATGACATATCACGTGATGTAAATATGGCGGATTGAGGCAGGAACTCCAAGGAAGATGAGTATTCTGAAATCACTCAAAGGGACTTTTAGAAATGTCCAAGAGGATATTTCAGGAAGGTATTCCATAGTTATAACATCGTATTTTTAATTACTTTGAAAACGTAGACCTGAATGAGATTATCTTTAATGAGACAAACTGTGGTCATAGGGATGCCTTATTTCTTCCCCTTACAAATTGCTCACCCTGACGGTTCTCCGCCAGCCAAACCCCCCCCCCCCCCCCCCCCCCCCCCCATGAGAATATACAGACAGTTCTTCCCAAAATGATTTTATCATTATTTATTTCAACAAGTCTCAAAAAAAACTTGATGTTCAAAATTGTTTGAAAACCAGTTTTATTGTAAGAGAGCTACAGATGTCCCATTTGTGTTTAAATGTTAAATTTTTTGATAGCGAGCTCAAAGGGCCTGCTTGCAAGCATTACGGTAACGTGAGTACCTGCTTTGCAATGGATTTTGAAAACTTTTGACAAAAGTACAGCAAAATTATGGGTTTTCCCTAAATGGGACTCTTAGGACATTCACGATTGTTTGATGAATTAATCATAAAGTACATAAGATTTTGACTGATTCAAGTATCTAGAACATTTAATGATAAATTGCAGTCTAAAAAATTACCTTTATACGCAACTTATGCATAAAGAAAAAAATAGTAAGATGCTGCAGCAACATCAACTTCTGATAGGTTGCTGTTTCCCTATATCTTTTTCCCGAAATAGAACTATTAGTTCAATCACGAAATTAGATTCTAAGTGAATTTATGTTGTCTAAAGGGTGAATTCAATTTAGATGTCAATCTCATATAAAACCTTCTTTTCATTACCGAAATCAACTCGTAAAAACCAAACTAGTTAAAATATTGCTATTATTTCTTCCTTATTTGATGAAAAATAATGAAATAGACTTTCAGTTAAAAAATCTATTGAAAATATTTTATTTTAATGATGTTATTAACAAAAATGTAATTATTGAGTTACTTCCCTTTGTTCTAAATAACCCGTTATGTGTTTAGCATTACCGAAATCAGCTGTGAAGTTTAAATTATGTATATAATTAGTAGATAATATATTAGATAACTCTAGTAGAGCTATTTTTTATAGACATATTTCTGTTTTTAAGTTTCAACCATATCTAAATATTATCAATGTTGAACGGTTTTGTAAAGATCTCACTAGGTTAAGAGTATCATCTCATAGATTGCACATAGAATCAGGTAGATGAACTTTAACCAAATAGTACACCTTTAAATGATAGAAAATGTTTTTCATGTAATGTCTAAGAAGACGAATACAATTTCATATTAGAATGCAATGTATATAATGATTTAAAAAAAAGTCTGATACCGCCATATTAGCATGTTATATATCTGCACGTGATTGTCGTGCATAACAATTTTCTAATCAAATCGTATTTTTAAAAAGCTATGATCGGACAATGATGGAAAAATAAAATACTCTGTAATATGAGTTAAAGATATTTATAAATTTTGTACATGTTTATATTTTATGAAGAAAAAATATCCAACTTCAACCGGAAGTTTATAATTTTCTATTATAAATTTGAATACAGATATATAATTTGACTGCTCTTAAAATGTTCCAAAAAAATTGAATAATGTATCAGGCAGTAAACTTGGAAATTGGAAAGTTTGTGTCTTTCTTTTATTGAACAGTTAAACTATATATTAACAAATCACTAACATATGTTATGGGGACTCTTTGTCATAATATTTTTAAATTTTAGTCATTAATTTAAATGTTTATTACGACATAAGCAGATGGTTCATTATAATCTTTATCTTTGACATACATTGTATGCCAACTGTACCTCCTGTCTTAATTACTTCACACCTTACTTAATACAGTAATACACAACATGTCAAATCGTACAAGTTACAACATTTCATAATTGAAATTTGTCTGTATAAAGTGTTCCATTTTTTCCATCATATAAATATATACCAGTCATTCCATAAATTTATGCTGTTTACAGATATGAAATTTAAAATGATTTTAAATCGATCAACATAAAATCATGACTTAACACTTTTTCAATAAGTAGAATATGTAGTTAAGTATCCGGGATATCAAAAATTGCATACATTTTTGGAACAACTGATATGCAATTCGGTAATAATAATATCAAAGCACCTTGTCTCATATACCAAAATGTTTTCTACGGAAACGTATCGCGATCACCCCTATATGTTAATTAAAACAGATCTTTTGACAATTTATTTAATATAAAATTATATTTTTACCAGCTTACTAGATTTGAAATATTCATACTATAAAACTATAAAAAAAAGTCTTTTGATACATATTATATAGGGATGGTCGCTATACGTCATTTTATATTAAACTGTAATGTACTTTTTGTCTTAATGGAGACAAGCAGCTTTAAATTATGTAAAATAAGTATATCTAATTATGTTGTTTGGATACTTTAAAGTTTCCATGCGCCGATGTATATTAAAGGATTGCGGTGAATGAGTATGTTATGTCAACACCTCCATTGTCCGAGCACGTGTATGCTTGCTCCTTATTAGTAAAGGTGTTATGATGAATGGCTACCGCTACGTCTTTTTATTTTAATCAAATCATAATCATTGGATTTAAATTAAATTTTGTGATAATTTCCAATCAACTATTTCATGCAAATTATTTAGGGGTTGTTCTCATCTTTGAAATGAAATCTGATTTGATTTCGGTAATGCAACACATTAATAATAAGGGAAAGTAATCATGATATAATATACATATCCGTCTATAACATCATCATTTTTATAATTAAATATTATTTTCCTTTGTTTATGGTTCAGTTTGAATGACTTTATATTAATTAATTAAACAAGATCTATTAAAATGTTTATTTTAACTTTTACAAGCCGATTTTGGTATGGTAACATATACATATATTTCGGTTCGTAACAAAAAAGGGAAGTAATCTTGATATTTAATTATTTAATTGTTTCTAATTTCATTATAAATAATTATTTCGAACTGATTTTTTGCATGAAAGTCAAACTAAACCTATTGTAATAGATTATAATGAAAAAAATATAATAGAACGCTTAATTATGATTTTACAAGTCGATTTCGGTATTGTAACATATATTTCGGTTCGTGACAAATCAGGGAATAATCTTGATATTTAGTTATTTGTTTCTAATTTCATTATTAATAATTATTTCGAACTGATTTTTGCATGAAAGTCAAACTTAACCTATTGTAATATATTATAATGAAAAAAATATAATGAAACGCTTAATTGTGATTTTATAAGTTGATTTCGGTAATGAAAAGTTGATTTCGGTAACTTTACCGAAATCAAGGTGATTTCGGTATCGTAACGTACCGCTTTCAAAGTGTGACAAACCCTGGTCTCTACATAAATAAAGTAGAATAATGATACAAATGGCTGGGGAGACTTGTGGAGTAACACTTCAAGTAACCTGTTGCCTCTGTATGGAATTATGCAATTCTATGCTTATATTTCAGTTTGAAGTCCCTAACAGTTTCACCAGAAAAAGGAAAAACCCAGGACAGTCACTTTCACTTTAGCAGCACTGTCAACTACGATGGTGGAGCAGAAATTTTGCACAAGTAAACATTTTGGTTGAAACTTTTAAACATATTTAATTTATAATCTTTCAATACATATTATATATTATAAACACTTTTTTTTTCACAGGTTGGATTGGACGAAAAGCATAAAAAACTGACAGTTTCTCACTGTATAGTACATCTTATATAGTCATTTAATATTAATATTTACTACTAATGATGTTATTTTTAAACCTTGTAGAGTACATTAATAAATACTGAACATGAATTTGATAAATAAAAATGGATTTAAAAGTAAAATCTACACTTGTGGGATCTTTGTGGCTAAGAGGGTAAAGTGACCAACTTGGAATCACTTTTCCCTCACCGCTGTGGGTTCCTATGATGAATCCCACTTGGGACCGTCACTCCGACTTAAGATTTTTTAATTTGAGGAAGGTATACAGTTATTTTACACAAGGTCAGTGGTTCTACTGTTGTACTTGCTTGAAATAATCCACAGAGTGGCATCTGAGGTTTTCATCTTAGAGTTCACCAGCTGGACCTTTTTGAGTGTTACTTAAAAATAACCTACAAAAATATATGCATATAATTATAAAGTCATAATAAAAAGGTTAGATTATATGATTAACTTTTCAGTGTGTTTCTTAAATATTCTGTACTTGTATTTTCTATTTTAGGAATCAGAATATCTGGAAAGATCTTTATGCATACTCTGAGGAAAACTCTATAAGGGCACAGGTAGTTTCATTTTTCATATTTTTCATAGTTTTGCTTTATTTTCATATTTTGTTATAAAAAGAACCGAGTTGGACCAATGAAGGCCAAATAGCTCAATGAATTTTTTACCAAGAGTCAGACTTTCAGGATTGGAGTTTTTGTTTTCTACAGCCAGATTCACCGATCATGGAAACAATTTCAATGGAACAATTTTGTCAAAAATACGTAAGCTACATTTTGGAATTTGACCTTCAGTGGTTGATAGCAGCACTAGCCCAACTAAACTAGTAGAATTTCTAAGTGGATAATAAGCATTCTCAGTTAATTGTAAAAAAGTTAAACTAATTAAGATGTTTAATTACAAAATGAGTTAGATATGCATAGGTTACCTTTCCCATAAAGCCACAGATTATCTACATAGTAGAATATAACTGGCCTATTATATTTACAGAACGTTGATATTCAGATAGGCAACTTGTTCGTCTACTGTGACAAACAGTCTGAGAGTTTGATGAAGCTTCATGAGGAATCATCACGTCTGCCTTCATTAATTACCCAGTTACAGACCATCACTGACTCATTAGGTAAGTTGACTGAATGTTAAATACTGTGGTTGTATATTGGATGTCTGTGTGAATTTTCATATAATTATGGTACCAGAACTTTAATTATTACATCTGTGAAGTACCAGTATTTGGTGCAGTTAATGTGCTCTGGGATTGAACGGTCAAAGGTTCAAGTCCCATCAAGGCTAGTTTTCTTACGCAAGAAATTTACCATGCATTGTACAACTTAACCAAGATGTTGATGTGTGGCAGTTGAGTCTGTGGTGCCATAATTCAAGTGTAGAAAAAGACCCCACAGGCAGATTGTTTCAAGTTGGCTATAAATCTAGGATAAAGTTTATGAACATGCTCATGGCATGAAACATTGACTATGACACATACATGTCTTTATGTTTGTGCAACTTAACATATATAATAGTGAAACTGAAAGAAGTGTAAATATTCTCAAATGTGTAGAATGAAAGGAGTCTTATTCAGATATAATACTATCCATCCTTGAGTCAGCATTTGCATAATACTTGGTTTTTGCATGCAACTTCAGATCCCATTAACCACAGCAGACATTCACTTAAAACTTAACAAATGTCTCAGATATCATAATTTTTAAGTTACAGTCTGAGACCCAAAGTCAAATTAACATGTACTTGCTTTGCTATCATTACTGAAAATAGTTATTTTTTAGCTCAACTATTCAAAGAAAAGGAAGAGCTATTGTACTCACCCAGGTGTCTTCATCACATTTGGTTTAATTTAGAAACGGAAGAGCTATAATACTCACCCAGGTGTCTGTGTTACATTTGGTTAAGTTTAGAAACAGAAAAGCTATAATACCCAGCGTCTGTGTCACATTTGGTTAAGTTTTTGTGGGCAAATTTGTATCTCCAAAACTACTGAAGGGAATTAATTGAAATGTTACACACTTATTTGAGAGTATAATGGGAGCACACTATCCAAAGACCATAATTTGAACATTGATTTAGAAAAAAATATGGCCCTTTTTGAACCTAGAAAATACCTCACTATCAAAGCTGTTGTTTTACTATCAAGCACTGACAATAGTCAAGCACAAATCAAATTTCTTGTTCTCTTTTGTCCAGTGTACAGTTAGATGACCCCTATTTATTTTTGGTAGAGAGCCTGTCTGTAGACAGTTTGTACCACATGTATATATTAGGCTTGGCTAAATCTTTTTATTTTATACACTTGAGAACATTTTTACCAAAAAGAAGAATTTTTTTAAATTTCATGAAAATAAGCACTAATAAAATGTGCTGTTTTAAAGATTACTGCCATAAATTTATCAGTATATTTGTAGCCCTGGTAGAGGAAGAGTATGATAAAGTAGAGGCAGCCTTGGTGCACTTAGAGAATCTTTGTGAGGAGCAAGAGTTCCAGAGAAATACAGCCTCCCATCATAAACAACTGGCTGTATATAAGATGAAGAAAGAACATGAATTACAGAGATATCGAGGTTGGTATAACTCATTTAACATTTTACCCTACTAAAATTTGCCTCTCAGACTTGGCCAGCTTATCTTAAGAAATGACAATATTTTATAGGGATTTCAAGGGCAAAATGAGGCAGACATCAATGTTTAGGTTTATTAGATACTGGGATTTACTCTAAATGACTTAATGTACATTTTTAACCCCTTTGCCCAGATGTAGTGCATTTGCTTAAGGACATTTCTAATAATTACATACTATATCAGTTGGATGCATAGTTCTCTGTTTAATTCAGTTATAAAACCTATACTTTTATTGAAGAAAATAAACATTGTTGAGATAAAAATTATATGAGCCGCGTCATGACAAAACCAACATAATGGGTTTGTGACCAGCATGGATCCAGACCAGCCTGCGCATGCGTGCAGTCTGATCAGGATCCATGCTGTTGGCTTACAAACCCTATAACAAGTAGAGAAACTGATAGTGAACAGCATGGATCCTGATCAGACTGCGCGGATGCGCAGGCTGGTCTGGATCCATGCTGGTCACAAACCCATTATGTTGGTTTTGTCATGACACGGCTCAATTATTTGTTACAACCTAAAACCAAAACTTTGATAGAAATCCAATAATGAATAATCACAAAGGTAATTTCAAATTTTAAATAAAAGTTTCTGTTTGTTGTTAGAGTTCAAACCAAAGGGGCATATGATCTGAGCTTGACCTCTATCTGTAAAGTTTCTGTGTCAATTAACAATGTGAAAATATCTTAAATCTTGACTTAAAATGTCAACGTTGCACATGTATTTTAGCAAGGTTAGCTGCTGAGCATGCTCACAAAGTGGAACAGGTGAACAAGAAACGTCAGAATTTATTGCACGAGAAACAAGAGGCCTATAATGAGCAGTTTGCACAAGACGTTGATTACTTTAAGAAACATGGGAAACCAGGAAGTAAGTCCATGTAAACTTCTGAGGAAAAACTACATACCTTGACAACTACGTGTACTTGTATTGCCAGAAAATATTAACCTTTCCATTTTGCATACATTTTCCGATGGTTGGTTGTGGTATATTTGGCCATGTTGCCAAAGAATGAGAAATCTTCATTACCACAATAGGAAATCCATTACTCCATTACATTGTAGTATTAAGGTGTCAGTTTTCGGACAACAGAATGGAAATCTGGTTTTGGGACAATTTTCAGTCACTTGTTATAATGCATTTTGATATTAGGCAAATTTAATGGACATATTTCTTTTCTACTTTAGTGTCAATACAGTTTCTTATTCTTTCCTATACAAGGACATGTTTGGGGCCACCCATGACTGAGTGATTAAGGTTACTGACATCAAGTCACTTGCTGGTCTCAGCTATGGGTTTGAATCCCAACAGGGACATTGGATTGTTACATGTGAGTAAGTTTATGGATGGCCAGTGGTTCTACTCAAATCTGAAATAATGCTCTGAGAAGCGCCTTTTGTCTTTCTCATTGAGTTCAGCAGGACAGTATCCATTTGACCTTTACAGTGTCAGTGTTATTGAAGGGCATGTAAGATTATCAATCTGAATGATTACACATTTGATTATACAAAAATGTATACAACAAAATAAAAAAACATTCCTATTGACCATTTTTCGCTAATCTTATTTTTGTTACAAAAACTTATAAGTCTTGGAAATACTAAATATTCCGGTATATAGAAGGGGTAAAAATTCTGTGACTATCTTTCTTATTGACTTTTTCATATTTACGATGTCATTATTTAGAAATTTCAATGGCAGTTCAATATATTATATAGGATTACCAAGTACACCAGAGAGTGAGAAAAAACTTGATCTAGCCGAGGTTGAGATAGATGAGGATCCAGAGGCACTAGATGCATTCCTACAGTCTGATGATACCCCCTCGCCCACAGGTACTACTTTGTTTGTTTTAGAGATGGGGATAACATGGGAGGGGATTTGCATAATAAAGTGAAGCATAGTATAACTCTATGTTAGGTCTATTTGTTAGGGTTGTGTGTTCACCAACATTGAGTCTAATGGTCATTTGTTGCTAAACAATTATTCAGAAATCAGGTGGGATTAGCAGTCGATCTCTTACAGAGAAATTGGTGTTTAGTGGTTTGTTTTCTAGAAAAGTCGGTAAGGTGGAACAATCACGAGATATCTTTAAAAAGGCGTAATAACCAAACAAACAAATAAACAATACAGATGACTACTTTTCTATATTTAGAATATATAAATGTGAGACTAGTACTATATTTCTAAAGTTTTAAATACAGAAATTGTCATTGGTTTCACTCAGTGATAGCCCTTAAATTTAAATTAAATACATGGTGCCTGTGATAAAGTGGTTAAGGTAGCTTACTTTGAACCACTTGCCCCTCACCTCTGTGAGTTTAAATCCTGCCATGGACTTTTGATTCTTTCATATTAGGAAGCTAGTCAGCTAGCTTAAGGGAGGTCAGTGGTTCTACTCAGCTGGTCGCTTATGTCAGAAATAATGCATGGAAGGGCACCTGAGGTCTTTATCCACCAGGAAAAAAATCACCAGAAAAACCTGGAAAGTTACCTTAAAGAACCTAATCAGAAAAAACAACATTTTATTTACCTAAATATAGAAAAGATCAGTTGTTAACCTGTTTATGAAGTTTGATTATCTGAATTATAGTTTGCTCTTCTGGAGCCATGCTGCTTTAAAAAATATATGCTTGTACTACAACAAAACTTATTATTCTGTTATAAACAAATAATAAATTTTTCTATTAATTTCTGTAAGTAACATTGTCTTAGATTGTGGCCCATTGTGCCCACATGTCTTTTTTCAGTATTTATATAATTATCTTATAACTTATTCTTCCAAATTGTTGTGCTTGTTTTTCTATCTTTTTATATAGGTAAAAGAAAGTCAATTCAAAAATACTGACATACAGATGATTTTGATTTTTCATTTATTTTCTTGAAAATTACTTCTTTTTTTTTGCAGAAGCTAAGGATAACACTGAAGAAAATTCAGTGGAGAGCACAGAAAAAACAGAAACCGAAGTTGAGGTCCTTTCTGACATTTTATCACCCTCAGACTCCGTGATGGAAATGTCAAAGGTCATTGACACACCAGAAGAAAATTCCTTACCAGAAGTTGCCTCCCCTGATTTACCAGACCAGTCTGGAACTGACTTGCCATTAAAAGAAAACATTAAAGATGTAGAAAACCAGTCAGATTCTCAGACTGATTCTAAAGAATTACCACAAGCAGACCAAAGTGATAAAATTGAAACAGAGGACCATTCCATTGTGCCTGAAGAATCTGCTAGTACATAACAGTAGAATTTTTCAAAACATAATCCCATATGTAACGTATAATGAACTCGCCATGTTTTGAATTGGGAACTATTTATTGCTAATTTAGGTGATTTTAATATGACTATATATATATTTTTTAGTAGTCCACATGGGCTACGTTGGTTTATTACTGAATCTTTTGGTGATAAAGGCCGATCATTTGTTACTGATTGCATTAAGATAATAAAATTTAACTTAAAAACCACTGTGATGAATTTGGAATGTAACCAAATTAAGGGAAGATAAAGCTGTTTTATTCAGTTCGAAATATACATCAAATTAAAACATGTTTATTCACCCTAAACTGATTGTATTTTGATGATGTTTTTGTTTTTTCATTGAAAATAACTCATAATAGCACTGTCCTGAAAATGTTAAAATAATCATTATAAAAATTGAGCCCAATAAAACTTTCAATAGTTTAAAAACTATTCCACTATGCAATATTATTATGTATATGTTATTGTTAACAATAAATAGTATTTATTTTAGTTTAGTTTCAACATGTTTATTTCAGTTCTGAACAAATCCTTATAATAATCAATTTTGAATCCACTCACCGGTATGGGTTTCATGAAGGAACATGGTCATGCCCTGAGTAGGGGTCAAACCCATGATTTCTGGGTTGAGAGGAAGAACCTCTAACAACTAGGGCACCACTTTCATTTATTTTGAAATATATCTATGTGATCTTTTGGTCTTGCTGGTATTTATGTATTTATATATTTGTTAAATTCTAACCTTTAATTAATGTTAGTTGATATATAACAGCAAATTTTGCCATTAAAGGCAAAATTATAATCTAAGAGTTTAATCTGTGAATAGCGCAAAAATATCTCCCAAGTTAATTACTTTCTGATGGTCTATTCAAAGTGTTTTGTTTACAAGACTAAAATTGTCCTAGGAGATGTCATCACTTTCTTAAGTGAATTGATTCTAATAGTAGCGCTTTCCTACCCATGTAGGCATCTTCAGTGCTGTATATCACTTGATTATTGTTGAATATGGAAGATTACTGCTATAATACATTGTCCTAGGAGATGTCGTCACTTTCTTTAGTGTATTGATTCTAATAGTAGCGCTTTCCTACCCATGTAGGCATCTTCAGTGCTGTATATCACTTGATTATTATTGTATATGGAAGGTTATTGCTATAATACATTAAAATTATCAAATTAATTTCTCCCTTTGCTCATCAAGAACATTGTATAAAAATAAGTCGAATGTCTGTGTTTAAAACTATTCTTTAGGCAAGGTGGCCAGAAACACATTTAATTTATTTCATGCAGAGTTTGTCTGTTTTGTGAAAGATGTTGAATCAGAAGTCCACTGTTACAATACAACATGTCAAGTATGGATGTTGCAGTAATGTGAGAGCTAGATCTCTTTTTAGTCCCCTACCGGTTTAACCGGAGGGGACTTTAGGTTTACCCTCCGTCCGTCTGTCCGTCTGTCTGTCCGTCTGTCCGTCTGTCTGTCTGTCAGTCCGTCAGTCCGTCCGTCCACAAAACTGGATCCCGCGATAACGCAAAAAGTACTGAAAATATTTTTATGAAACTTAATACATGGATAGATGGCAGTATGGAGATTATGCACGTCTTTTTTTTTTCTTCCTATGTTGAAAATTCTGGTTGCTATGGCAACAAATAGTCTAAAAATATGGCAAATTTAACACATAAACTGGATCCAGTGATAACTCAAAAAGTACTGAAAATATTTTTATGAAACTTGAAATATGGGTAGATGGCAGTCTGGAGATTATGCACATCTTTTTCTTTTCTTCCTATGTTGAAAATTCTGGTTGCTATGGCAACAAATAGCCTGAATTTCAAGATTTCTGATTTAAATTTTTCAGCTTTTTCACTATATGTTCTTTATTTCTTAAGGTGTTTACTTCAAACTTTAAATATAAGTTTCTGTCATCAACACACATCATATGTGACACAGGTTTATAACTCTAGCACAAAAAATATCAGTATTACCTCCCTTGAAATTAGATTTTTTTAGGGGAAAAAATGTTGTCTTTTTTAAATAACTTCTTTATTTCCTAATGTATCTACTTCAAACTTCATATATATGTTTCTTATTATCACTCGACATTTTTGAGAAGGTTAAATACTCTAGCAAGACTATTTCCAGAATTATGTCCCCCTTGAACTTAGATTTTTTTCGAGAAACTGGTATTTTCACTCCAACTTCTTCATTCCTTATATGATTTACTTTAAAATCCCACATCGTAATAATATGACAAGGTTGTATAAACATAATTTCCTTACTAAGCATGGAAACTTAACACATTACTGTGATATAGACAAACTTATTTTATTATGATTTGTGGTTGATATTTTCAAATACAGACTTCATCCTCAAATTCATTATAAATGGCAATACACAGGAGTGTATGACAATTAAAGAACTTTTTGAGGGACCGGTAGGGGACTACTGTATTGCCCGCAATACTATCAAATGCTTGTTTTTTCTCCATTCTGTAGAATTTGAAGAGAATACCCAATAAAACAACACTAATAGTAGAAAATAGCAATTTTATTATGGAGAAATACAAAAATGTTAATTTACAAGAGAAATACAATGACTACAAAATGATTGAAAAGAAATTAAATGAAATAAATCCGACAACATAAAATAAAATACTTTTACTGTTATAAAAGTTCTTTAAAATACTCTTAAGTTACATTTAAACTTGTTTTTAATTCCACTGCCTGAAGCTTTACCAGTTCCTTCAAAACTTTTAAAGTGTTCTTTGCCCCCCTAAAATTTTTACCATTGTTGTCAAAGCAACAAAGGGGAGATAATTATAAACAGGTTGTACTTGGTAAATAGCTTGGAAAGGAGGTATTTAAATTTTTTAGATCAAGTTGAATAAAAATCTGATTATTTAATATAAAGAATATAAATTGTACCTAGATAGGAAAAATATCTAACATAATATATAACTGGAGAATCATCACAAAATGTGGACGGAAAACAATATCACAGTTTTACTATACATTGCTACAGCCTCCTTTTTTCCTTTGAAGTAAAAGTAATCTAGCTCAGTTGGTGAAAACGCTGTAATTCTGCATTTTAAGTACATGAACTTATTTATATACGTTTTGCATATGAATTTTCATTATTTGTTGTTGATGTTGTTGTTGTTTTATATGGTTCAGTCTTTCCATGGTTTGTGTATATAATATATGTACACATACATGTAGGCAGGTTTAAACGTAACTCCTTCATATAGAGGATTTACTTAACATCATGCCAAGGATTGTTAAATGTACTTAAATGATCATATTCTACAGAATTCCTATATTAATTATGTACCACAAAGTTAATTCTCAGAAGAGTTATTGCCCTTTTTTAATTATAAAGATGTGTAGGCGAATGTTTGTCTTTTCTAAATGCACCCTGGTTGTTGCCATGGTAACTAACGTGAGGTAACAGGTTTTATTGTGAAGACACACGTGTTTGTCTCCGCCACTGCCTTTTGTCGAAATTCTCTATACTGCCTGTACTCCGCTGAAAATAAAGAAGAAACATAATTAAGTTTGAACTTAAATCCCTATTGAAATATGCTGCGAAACGCCATGCTTTTAGGATATAAGATCTACACATAATCATATTGATGTAACTTTTTAGCCAAAATTTCTAAACATTTTATCGTCGAAAATGCAATAAAAGGTTCTAAGGAATCTCAATTGACAAAATTGTATTAAAAGATTGTATTTCAAACAGTATACAAAAAGAAGAGAAGAATTTACAATTTGAAGTTACTAACAAACAATCATTTAAAAGCACCAATCAAAGCAGTCGGTACAAATCTCTTTACATAGAAATTTATGTGTAGGTAGAAACATCGTACTTATTTGATATAAACGTTTTCAAAACTAGTTTTTATTGGTCTCATAGAATCTATGCAAAAAAGAACAATACAGATAATTGAAATTCAAATGTACGTTGCTATGGAAACTTACGACAGTCATAGAAGTCGGACAATTTCTTCTCGGAATCTGCACAGTTCAAAAGAATGTAGGTATCTGGTCGGATCATACAGTTTCTAAGTCGACAGACGTTAGGTGTGGCGACCTCGCCGTGATATATTCGGCGTATATCCATTAACTTTGGAACATGTTGCACGTAATTCTCGTAGAAATGTTGTGTCGGTACTTGCAAGCCGTACATCTCCGTTAACTGAAACGCCCTACCGTCTGGAAAAAAAGAAACAAATACGAATGAAAATTTTAAATAAAGCTTCTAAGCTGACGAGAATATTTAGTAAATGATGAATATCAGCTAAACATAATGGCAAGGAGGCAAGTTTTTTAGCGTGGCCATGTGACATCGTCAAATTTCGTGTGTGCTTGTTAATAATAATTTATTAAATGTATATTACGTGCATTTTCTTATGCAATCAAGTGTCACTGACCAACATAATAGAACAGATTGAATTTAAAAAAAAGCTTCATCGTTGGGTAAATAACGCGGAACTTATGACCGCGCGCTCGATGACTGTAATCAAGCAGTTCCTTGATGGACAACCAAGATTTCATTTTTCACATTTTAGATGTTCATCAGATTAAACCAAAAGCAAAAAAGAATCATTTTAAAAATTTACCCTCGTGTGGTAAATAGTGAAGAGGAACTGAGAATAATTCTAACTCTGCGGCTGGTGATGGGAAGTCTTTCTGTTTGAATATATTGCTGGATTGCGTCCATCTCTCACATACATCATTGTTGCGGAATTTTATTAAGAAGATACACTGAGGCGAAATACCGCTGTAGAGGTTTCCCTCAATTCTTGTAATCTATAAATGTACAAAAAGAAAAAAAATATATTATGATCCCTGTACATGTATTAAAATAGCCGATCAATAGTTAAGTATTTATATAGGTTCCTATCCCAACACCTTTAATTCAAAAATACATGTATATTTATTTTAAATAAAATAATTTGCATAAAGGCACATTTCAAAGGAACATAAAATTCGCCTGAGTCATTGGGCTGTGCGTATATCTTAGCTTTAAGCAAATATTTAATCTTTCAAAGGTAAATAATGTTAAAAATGGATTTGTATAAGTATAAAACATTTTTGTTTTGAAGCAACTTTTTAACTTGCAAGACCATCTCTTGACAAAGACTTAGACATCTGGTCGAGAAAAACAAAGTCTTAAATAAAAATAGTGCTTTTTTCACACTAACAGTGTTGTGAAATCATTTCATGAGACGCGTTGACTTCTCTCACAGAGGACGTTTGTCTTAAGCTGCATGCACAGCCAGTGCTACCTTTGACATGGTACAATGTATACTGTCTTTTCTGTCTAACTTTATACAATGATATTTACATAATTTCACTTACATCTTCAGCTACTCCGACGATGGTACCTCCAAAATTTTCTATGACCCGTTTGTCTTTTACAAATGCGTTTTTAAGACGCTGTAGATATTCTTTGTTTGCTCTGATAAACAAGAAAACTTCTTGACTTGCGGTGGATATCTATAAATAAAAAAATAATACTTTTTCACAAGTTGCTATTGCTTGTTATCTATAAAATGACAAATTAGTATTTAACTTTGCACTAACCGACAATTAATATGGTCCTATTTTCACATTTGATTGAACCTTTGCTTGAAGTATGTAAAATCGGCAGGATTGAAATCACATACACAATTAATGCAAACCCGGTTGACTTGTCATTTTATGAAAGAAAATGAATGTTGCTGTATATTTCCGACTTCAAAAACTCTTTCAGATATTTGTAAAGATTCACAACTAAAGACAAGAGGTCGATTATCACAAAAATTCGGGAAAAATATAATAATTCCAAGAAAATTTATTGGCGACATTTTACGGCCGCCAGATATCGTTTCGACTGTTTGATTGTGAATATTGTGTGCTGAGTTGCAAGTTGAAATCATTCTGCTAGAATGACGAAACATGCAAAGTAATGTCTTTGACTAGTTTCAAAGGTTATGTGAAATATATGATGGTGATAAATCAATGTGCGTTTTAGAATGTTTGAGAACGCACTAAGTTGGAAAGCTTAAGGCTTAATGTAAATTGATTCTTCACACATGAACTACAACAAATACTAACTTGAGGGAACGAATCTCTCTGTTGCTGCTGCATTGTGACTTTTGCTTTTTCACCGAGATCTGGATAAGTGCCTACTTGAACCCCTTTTTCTCGTGCGCTCACTACTGCCTTCTCACACCCAGTCTGGGTACCAAACGTTCGATTTTGTCTTCCGGTACTCTTTCCTGGCATTACAGAACACTGTTTTTACTGGAAGAAAATGTAATTTGAAGTGTTTTAAAATGAGCATAAACTTGATAGAAACAGAAATAATCGGAACGTACAAAGTCAATGTATTTCACGCCAGGCGTACATAATTTAGTTTATAGAAAACTTGTGGAGATTATCGAAGAATTTCGAGTAGATCATATCAAATCCGATTAACGTTCACACTGGATTAATTCATGCCACAAATATTTAATAGAATCAAGGACACTCTAATTGCAGTTGTAATAACGTATAATGTTATGCAGGTTTTTTCCTCTAAAACATATGAAAGTAACCTCGGTGCATGTCACCATTATTGCGTCACCTAAGAAACTTTTATAATATGTAATATATAAAGCGAACACCACAAGGTCCATAAATTATTATTCAGTTATATCTTCTTTTTTTTCTTTTTTTCCGCAATCTGTTCCTTCGATTTATTTACATTCCAAATATGTTTAACCGATTAAATGATACCTTAATAAAGTATAACCAATTATTTTTGTAATCTTCTAAATAAACAAATCACAATTGGCTCACAACTGAAATTTTCAATAAATCATTTGAGCCGTGTCACGACAAAACCAAGGTAGTGCGTTTGCGACCAGCATGGATCCAGACCAGCCTGCGCATCCGCGCAGTCTGATCAGGATCCATGCTGTTCGCTATCAGTTTCTCTCCTTGTAATAGGGTTAGTAAGCGAACAGCATGGATCCTGATCAGACTGCGCGGATGCGCAGGCTGGTCTGGATCCATGCTGGTCGCAAACCCATTATGTTGGTTTTGTCGTGACACAGCTCATTTGTTAAACATCGATCTGATCAATTGAATAAGCCATTCTGTATGTTATATACCAAATTTACATTTAGTTCTTCAATAGAACTTAATTTAAACGAGAGAGAGAAAAACTTACGTACAGTAAAGAAATATCTTTGGGCGGATTTTATTTTGTACTTCTTCAAAAGTATATTAAAAACGAAAAGAAACAAGAATAATGGTTTCAAAAATTACATTTACGTTGAATAAAGTTCTTTATTCTGTCAACTTAATTCTAACCCAAAAGGCATTCAATCAGATTGTAATTTCGTCCCATATTTAAGACAGATGAAAAGAAAATATGTAATAACATGCAAAGAGAATTTTGACTCCTAGCAAAAAAGAATTTGTCTGGCGTATGGTAATAAGCCTAAAATCTTGTTAGTCCAGAACATTCAAGTGTATTTTACAATCAGATTAAGAGATTTACAAGTCTATGGGATTATTTCAGAATAACCTGACTTTGTCAAACATGTGTAAATAAGACTTTAACCCAAATGACACGAATGAGTGTGTATGGGAAGGAAGAAAGCCTTACAGATCATTTACATTAATGTTTACTTAATTAATCTATTTTTTCAAGCTTTATAAACAGACAATTTGATACATTTACAAATTTTAAAATATTTACTTATGAATTTATTGCTGAAGTGCCCAGCGAATCTTGATCATGGTCAGTTTTTGGTAGATGGTTCAGAAGATTTTATTTAAAGTTAATCGTTTGTGAAGATTTAGAAATAACAACTTTAGACGTTTCCTTAATCTGCATTGCACGGAGAACAAGATTTGCAGAAAAATCGGAATGACAACTTTATAGACGTCCCAGATGAGGCAACACTTGCAGACCGGCAAGGAAACCGTATAAGTCTTGAATAAATGGTTTACTTCGCCGCCGAGTCTAATAATTAAAAAAAGTCTCAAAGACTTACATGTCGCGGGGAAAACACTCAACAGGTCAAGGTCAAACTATCCTAAGTGTGGTCTAGATATTCTAGCTCATATGGTTACTTCCAGTGGCCAATAAAAATGAACTTAGCTTCAACTAAATACGTGTCATTAGTTTAATTACTCTGGCTTATATCGACGATTAGATACGGAAAGTGTCGAAGTATAACGATTTTTTACGAGCTTACGGTTGCAAATTAACATAATTGTTCTTTGTATTTAAAGGACCCTAAGTAGCACTACAAATATTGATGAGATGTTTATTTACAAGTCTAGTGATTATAAATTCTGTAGTACCCTTTTAAAACATATTATTTACAATGCATATGGCGTGTATAATCCAATGCTAAACAAACATGCATAATCTTAAGACAAAAATCTTTAATTGAAAGTGCATAACATCTAAAAGTCACACAAAATGATGTACAAAAAAAACACACACACTCATGTACAAATATTTCAACACAACAATTAATAGCATCTAGCTACGGTTTTCACACGTATAAACAATAAACGCTCGTAAATAATGAATTTGAAATTAAACCCTCGGAAAACTTTCAATACATCCGAGTCCCACCGGACTACTTTTCATTCTGAAACATGCGAAGAAATATTTTTATGGAGATAAGAAGAACAATCAGAAAGGCAAATCACTACTGAATAATTAAATATTTTACACAATAGTATAGATTGATTAAACATTGTAAATCATGGTACTGAATTAGGAGACAGTTTCAACACGCAACAACAGAATTACACCAATGGCCATAGATAATCTGTTCAATGAAAACAAACAGGTGAAAACAAAATTCATTCATCAAATTATGCTGTTCATTTTGATCTTTTAATTAGCAATGTCATTAATTTATTATTGAATTTACTTCTCTTAATTAATAACAAAATGGTCGTGTGTTAAAATCGTAACTTTTCGGTCATTTCCGTCATACATCGGTAAAGTATGCGACGAGGCGTCCTGAATTTAAAATACACACACCATGTCTATGAACTTAATAGGTTAATATAATACAAAATACAGAACAAACTATTTCTTGTTTGTTTGTGATCGACAAGTATTTTACTATTCGGACACACCTTGGATATTGTCCAAACAGGGTCTTTCAAAAGAAAAGGAAATGGTCGAAAACTTTACCTATATAGCTGTGTTTACGTATTAATAATCGAGTCCCTCACTTATCTATTAATTAAGGTTAGACCTACTTAATTTCACACAAACAAGTATTATTATACACAATTCATATATGTATATCTAAAGTAAATATCTTATTCTGCTCAAGCTAAATAAATCAGATAAAATAGATATTAAAAGAAGTTTAAACGATAAACAGGTACAAACTATTTATAGTATTGATTAACCAACAAAAACTTGATAGATTATATTGATCATTATTGAAGTAATTATTTCATGCTTTGACGGTCCTTATAGGACATACAGTACATCACTTAATATAATGAAACAGAGTATCCGGTGCTAGAAATTAAAGAAAACAGCAATAACAGCAAACATACAGGATTGGATGTTTGAATGTGCAATAATGCCAATGCAAAAAGAACATGTTAAAAACCTAAAGTAAATTACTTTCCAGTCATAATTTTAAGTTTGGCCTAGCGGCTCTACACTAAGATTCCAAGCTAGTCGTTTTGAGCCGAACTCAACTAGAATTGTATTATACCCAAACATAAAAAAATGGATTATACCCAAACTTAAAAAATGGGAGCATACCGCGATGGAGTTGGTCCGTAACTATGTCGTACGTCCGTCATCTCTCCCTTGTCCGAACAATGAGCAGAGAACACTTTGACCTACAGTCCTAAGATTTGCTGTGGATATTGACCATGACTGTATATGAGCCCTATTGATTCGGGGGTCAAAAGGTCAAGGTCGCCGTGACCTTGACCACTTTACGCTTACTCGACCAATAACTAAGAAACACTTTGGCCTACAGTCCTTTAGATTTGGTGTAGAGATTGGTCATGACCCAATTGATTTTAAGGTCATTAAGTCAAGGTCACATTTGCGCATGAAGTATTTGTCTAATAAAGACGGTAATAGATTCGTAAAACGTATCCGTTATAATACCTAGTGATAGTTTATATTTTATTAAATATATGTAAGTGTTTAAATATTTTACAAGCACAGCAAATGAAGGGGGGGGGGACATAAAGGTATTCTTGTTTAGCATTTTGTATGAAACTCAGTTTTCACCGCCTACCGGAACATCTCGGCTTTTATCAATAATAACTTGTCCGAAGTTTGAGGGAAAGGGCCGAGATTCACCACCTCCCATCGTAATTTCCGATACAAATACTTTAAAGCCTTAAAAGACAAGAAAACCGGCTATTATCGCGTGCTGTAACCTTGATTTAATTTGTTTCCAAGCGTGATCGCAGCAATCAATTGTTCTATCAACATCAAAGAAAGCGTCTCATTTAGTGTATCTAGGCTGTTCAATCGATTGTAATTTCCGTGAAATGACAGTCTTATACCTCAATTGATTCATGCTTACATTGTTTACAACAAAATTCAATTAGACTGGGCAAAATGGTGTCCATTTGTAAATAAAAACATTTGAAAGCTGCTCGTAAGTATTAAAGTGATCATTTTTCAACTAAATTGATTCCAAGAACATTGAATATGACAGTCCATGATAAAATGTTTATTTTTGAAAGATATACACTGATAATATATATGATTTCTGATGAAGTCAAAACTAACTTGTTGTCTTGATTTTTTATTATTATTTAAGTTTCAGTATTAATAAATCACGTCAATACTTCGATAAAAACATCTTGCAATCATGAGACAATTTTTAAGGATAACGAATCGTGAATCGGTGAAAATCAACTAATTTTGACAATGCCATAATAAATCTGAAGCCGTTCACATCTTCATTATACCTATTTATGTACATTTATGTACATTGTTTTAGACTAGAGGCTGTGACAACGTCACATCATAGTTTGAGACAATACCAATACGGATCAAATATGAGCGGTGTCATGACAAAACCAACATAGTGGGTTTGCGACCAGCATGGATCCAGACCAGCCTGCGCATCCGCGCAGTCAGTTCGCTATCAGTTTCTCTACTTGTTATAGAGTTTTTAAGCGAACAGCATGGATCCTGATCACACTGCGCGGATGCGCAGTCTGGTCTGGATCCATGCTGGTCGCAAACTCATTATGTTGGTTTTGTCATGACGCGGCTCATTATTAAATGTA